ATACCAGACAAGCTAGAATGAAAATGTCAATGTATAATCAAAATGTATTCAATATACATTTTGTATAAAATATATTTTATAGGATCTAAGAATTCTGTTGGTGGGATAAATGTTAGTTAGTTAGGCTATATAGGCTAGTCTTGACTTAACAACCAGTGTTGAGCACAAAATTCCCACTGGCAAGCTAGACAATAGTTAAGTGAGTTTTGCCCCATTTTATGACTTTTCTTGCCACAGTTAAGTGAATAGCTGCAGTTGTTAATTAGTAACACAGTTATTAATTATTCCATTTTGGGGAAGAGGCTCAATTTAACTGCTCAGTTAAAACTTGACCCAAAATTTATTTGACTGATAGGAGTGAATTTAGAAGCAAGCATGCTTTAAGAAGATGTACTTCTTTGTCAAGAGCAGCTTTTGGATATAGTTTTAGTTTAGTTCATATTGATGAATTGGGGTCTAGACTTTAGTACACTGCACTACAGTTCCCAGCAGTCCAGGCAGCAGGACCAATGATGATGAGGGCTTAGATTTATAGTTCAATAACATCTGAAGGGCCTTTCCAGTGCACTATTTCAAGCTATCATGCCACAATATGGTATGACAATAAAAAATATTCCAAAAGATTGTTAGTATGAGACTAGGAAGGTTAGTATTGTCTCATCTCATTTTGTCAGTGAAAATCTTGGCTCATGCTGTGTAAATCAAGGTTAATTTATCTTGCGCAGATTAGTTTATTGGCATAATGAAATGTCTGTAATTATAGATTTTTTTTATTTCAGGGAAAATACAATGATAAAGGAGCACGTACTGTATCTATATGACTTTTAGTAAGCATTATCTATGTGATGGTTAGCAGATAAAAGTATAATAGACAATATAGCACAAAATGCCTAATTCAAGAGCTTATATACTGCCCTGTGTTTGCTTTGGAGAAAAAAGGCATTTTAGAAATTTAAAACAAATCTTGTGGAAAAGTATTATATTTTCCCCAAAAAACTGCACATTTCTTGTGTCCTTCCTTTCAATTAGTGAAAGAGATCTACACTTTTTAAAAAATCCTTCTATTTGCATAGTTAGCATAACTTTCCCAGTGACAGTAGTATAAATGATAAAACTTCAATATGATCTCTCTGCCTTTGCTAAGTGTCCAAGTTGCCTTTTATATAGTATGGACAATTCACTGGTAACTTTTTTGGGATGTAATTATTCCCATATATGATGTGGGAAACAGAAAACAATGCTCTTGAAAGCTTCAGTTCTAATATCTGCTTATATTGCAGATATGCTGCTGAACTCAGATTCTGTACACACTTAGGAAGACCAAATTCTGGCATTTTTGTTTGGTTACTGTAGTTTTATTTTCATTTCTGTTACAGTTCTGGATGTGAACCATGTCGATGATAACTTTGGACTCCCAGGTCTCTTCTGCATGTTGTGATCCCTTTGTAATATTTGCTGAATGTGAGAAATGCATAACAACCCTTTTTGTCCCTTCTGTGCTTCATAAGGGAGAACTGGAGAACTTAATTTTCATCAAAGATACCAATTATAGAATCCCATCTTAAAAAATGGCACATTTAATGCATAAGCATTAATTTTAAAAAATAGCTAGCTTGTATCCTAAAAATAGAAATAAGAATAGCAATGCAGTAGTTGTTAAAATAGGACATAAATACAGGGCCAGAAATAATGTGCTAGTTGAACATTAGGGCAAGTACAATCCCACTGTATAAATTCCTGTATGGATGGGATGCACTTAAAACCTCTCCAATATGCTCAAGCATGACTTGACATAAATTCATTGCCAATCCATTGGACAAGACAGCAGATCATTATTTGTTAGCATCATTCTACACACATACCTGAAAACTCTTCCACATTCTACTGTTCACTTTTTCAGACCCTGTATTTTAGACCTTCCATCCTGCGTCTACTGAATAATGAAGGATATATCAAGTATAATTGAGTGATTCAATAATTTCATATGCAGTGTTTTAGGAGAATGACATTTTCATAAATTACTATTTGCATAATGTGGGCTGATTCTCCTGCCTCTCATAACTTGCAATTAAAAGTGACTTGTGTAAAGAGTAGGGAGTCTATTCAGAGGGGATAATTCTTTTTTTTTTTTTTTTAATTGCAAAAGTTTTACAATTACATTTTCACCCCTTTTTTTCACCCCCCCACCTCCCTCCCCAAACTTCCCGTCCTCCCTAGCCCTCCCTAACCCTCCCCCCCAGACTTCCCTATTATGTACTCATAACTAATAATACTGATATATATACCTGAACCCATCCCTCCCCCTATATAATTTTCCCTCTTTATCTCTTTACATTAAAATATTTCTAATACATTGTTTTCAAATAAAAGCTATTTGGTACTTTCTAGTTTGGTATTTGTTCTGAACATATTCTATCCACCTTTTCCATTCCCATTCATAAGTCTCTTGTGAACAATCTTTTAAATATGCTGAGATCTTCGCCATCTCTGCAAAACTGGCCATCTTCAAAGTCCATTCCTCGATAGTAGGCAAAGCTTCATTCTTCCAATATTTACCTATCAACAATCTTGCTGCTGTTATCATATACAATATTAATTTTATTTCACCCCGTGTAAAACCCTTAACTATACCCAATAAAAACAATTGTGGAGAAAATTGAATTTTTTTCTTCAAAACATTCTGCATGACCCACCATATTTTTATCCAAAAAGCCTTAACTTTCCTACAGGTCCACCAAACATGATAATACGTAGCATCCAAACATTCGCATCTCCAACATTTTGGCTGAACATTAGGATACATACATGACAACTTTTTAGGATCTAAATGCCATCTATAAAACATTTTATAAAAATTTTCCCTCAAATTCTGCGACTGTGTAAATTTAACATTCTGAACCCAAATTTTTTCCCATGTTTCCAACATCACTGGTTCTTCAAAATTTTGTGCCCACTTAATCATACAATCTTTAACTAATTCCGTTTCTGAATCCCTTTCTAGCAAAACATTGTAAAGCCTTTTAATATGCATTGGACCTTTCTCTCTTATATGTCTAACCAATTCTTCCTCATGCAACATAATACCAGTTTTTTGGTCCTCTTTCCATCTCAATTGTAATTGATTATATTGTAACCAGGTTAAATTAATCCCTTCGTCCAACAGTGTCTGCAATGTCTTCAACTGCCATCTGCCCGCATCTGTAAAAAGAACCTCTTTGTATAAAAACCCCCCGAGTGACATTATATTTGTATTCCACAAGGTATGACCAAGATCCAGCCATAGCGGTATTTTATAATCCCATTTGAGTCGGTGCTTCTTCCAAACTCTCATCAAAGAGTCTCTAAGTATATGACTTTTAAATACTTTATCAACTTTGTCATCATAAAATAGGTAAGCATGCCATCCAAATTCAAGATCAAAACTTTCTGCATTCAATATTCCAGCCTTTTTACTTCCAAACCAATCACTTGTTAAAGTTAAAGCTGCTGCATCATAATATAACTGTAGGTTTGGAAGTTTAAGGCCTCCTCTTTCTGGAACATCTTGCATAATTTTCAATTTCACTCTCGGCTTTTTCTCGTTCCAGACAAACTTATTAAGTCCAGTTTGCCAAACTTTCAGTTGTTTATCACTTTTAAGCACCGGAATCATTTGAAACAAAAACAGAAATCTTGGCAAAATGTTCATCTTAACTGCTGCTATTCTTCCAAGTAAAGACAGTTGCAGCTTTTTCCAAGTCTCCATGTCTTTCTGAACCTCTCGCCACAACACCTCATAGTTATTTTGAAACAATTTCATGTTTGATTCTGCAACCTGAACTCCAAGATATTTTACCTTAGGTACAATTTCAAAACCTGCCCTCCTTTCAAACTCATGTTTACGATCTTGTGTCATATTTTTGACTATCATTTTAGTCTTTTTTGAGTTCACTCTAAAACCTGAAACTCTACCATAGTCTTGTATAATGTCGTTCATCAAGATTATTGATTCCATTGGTTGTGATAGGGTAACCACCAGATCATCTGCAAATGCCTTTATTCTATAATCCTCTTGCCTTATCATTATGCCTTTCAAAATTTTTGAGTCCCGTATTATATTTAGCAAGACTTCCAATGTTAAAATAAATAAAAGTGGGGACAACGGACATCCCTGTCTTGTTCAGAGGGGATAATTCTTAATCCCATGACATGGTAAGAAAGTTGCCTTCAAAATAATGCTGTTTATTTGAGAAACAAGACAGAATAAAATTTGAACCATTTTATATAAGGAAGCAATATAGTGATTGGCAGGATTATATAATTTAATTGATGGGTTAGCCTGCAAGAACAACAAGGATCATTGGATTTGAGCAAACTTCTAATTTAATGTTTGATTTCCTCCTTATTACCCAGATATAGAAGTGACGTGTAGTTACTTTACTTGTAATAAAATGCCACAGCCATCTCAGATTGATAAATCTTCTCTCTTATTAATAAATAGTAATAAAATTACGTTTCTAAAAGACAGACATCATGGCAGTAGAAAAAAAATCATAATGTGGAAACATTTTCCCCTTTAAGACTTAGGTTTGCTTCTCAATCTCTGTAAGAAAAGTATAACAGGCTTCAGCTATACACCTTGATCAAAGTGCTGTTGCCTTGGTATAAAATTTTCAGACAATTTGAATAAATTTTGTGGCCAGAAGATGAGCTTTGACTTACACATTTGCACATGTGAGTGGCTTTCTCCATAAAATATATTTCTCCATAAAATATATATACTTGCCTTACAAAGTAGTTAGCATTTTTCAAACATGTTTTGGCAAATGGGAGAAAAGCTTTTATTTGTGCACAACCCAAGGAAATATGAATTTTAGGAGGGGAACCGTATTTATGATCTTATCTGCTTTTCAAGAACAAAAATCTTGTGGCTAAATTTGTTTATAGAAGCTAGAAGAACAAATTTATCCCAATCAGTATTGCCCAAATTTCACACACGTTAAAGGAACTGATCTTCAGAATTCCTCATAGCAATTACAACTTTATTCTTTGTCTTGTTTGGGTGTTGAACTTAAATATTTCTCTGACTAGATCATTTTACTTACTGAATACATTACAAACAACAGTCTCTTTAATATAGAGATAATTACAAAATCAAATTCTAGAAGATATTTAGGCTCATGGGGGGGTCTTTTTTCCATTGGAGAAGAGGGGTAAAACAATGAACACATGTCAGTCCTTTGAGAAACTTCTATGTATAGAGAGGTCAGGTCTGAATTTGTAAACTGCATTCAGTTTAAATAAGCTCCAGCAAAAATGTGCTAAATTCAAAAGTGAACTTGGTCTACTACTATACACCACAGAACATACAGGATTAAATACATATAGCAAATAATCTTGTTAAATAATAATCTAGCAAATCTTGATCACTTTGTCACAATCTATTCTGCAGAAAATTAGAATATCCAGGAAAAACTCTTTTTTATTAATTGTTAAATTTATAATCCATTATAACCTTCCTCTGAAAATCTCAAGAAAAATAGTTTGCTTCTCCATCCATATTTGAACTTTGTTTCATAAAGTCACACTGTGTTACAGTAAAGTTGGGATTTGACTCAAGGCCAATCTCACACTGCTTTGGAGGGGGGCCAGTTTAGACTAATTTTTGAAAACTGCAGTAATAGGTTTCTGTTTTATAAGTTATGTGTAGGTGTTATTCAAACCCCCTTCCTGTTGCCCTATGTTGTCTTGCATCCTGTATTGTTGCCAAGAGATTGAAATGCATGCTGCATGACCAGACATTACCATTGGTTGGTCATCTTCCCTCTGTTCCATAAGGTAAGGATATGCCCATTATTTATTTTTACAAATACTATAGGAGAAAAAAATGGAAATCTGATCCTCACACTTCTGATAGCAGCACAAAGCACAACCGAAAGAGAAATCTGAACTTGTCTAACAATAGGTGTAGGCCAATTCTATAGCCTAGCTCTTCCTTGCCGTGTCAGGACTGATGCCCCAGATTTTCTACCCCAAGTTAAAAGAGAATATCTCCAAACAAGAGTACAGATCTGAAGTGCTGTAGTAAACAAGCCTTCTACTGTCTAGAAGTAGTAACTATATCCTGCAAGAGAGTAAGTAGCTGCTGTTTCATTAAGTGAATCTAGTTGTAAGTAGGACATAGGAAGGAAATTGTAGTTTGGAAATTGCCTAGAAAAATCAGAAGGGGGGAGGGCAAATCTAAAGGAGAATCTGCTGAGCCAAAAATAAAATAGGAGCAGCAGCCAAAGAGACGTCTTGATGATGTCTTTGCTAAAAATCTGGGCACTATCAGTGAGAATTATCATTAAAGAATTTTACTTGAAGCCTCATTGAAAATGTTCATAAGTAGCGCTAAAATAATTACATGCCCTTCTTGTTCCTATGTATGTTGTCATCCAAGTTCAGCTGTCAGATTCATTTGGCTTCTTTCTGAATGCTTGGGAAATACCTTGCACCCTAGGTATTGAGGCTGAACAACCAAAAAATAAGAACTATTAGGTTGTATGATAAAAGCAGCTACTAAATGTTCAGAAGTTGCTTATAAATGATGAACCAACTCTTTCAAGAAACTATTGCAAAGTAAAAGTAGACTATTTTATAAGATATGCTACTTGAAATGCTTTGAAAAAACACATCAAATGAGTTATTACTGTTTTCCTTTTATGACACCTTAATATTTATTGTGAAGCTATGGTCCATAACTTAAACATGGGTGCATAGTATAAATTTCCAATGGATTTATCTCCATCTAATCCAAGCTGCAATTAATGGTGAAAAATAAAAAAAAATCTCAGTTAAAACTATACCCTTGTAATTGCTCTCTTGAACAAAACCTCACTAAATTATTGTTATAGGCTGCTTTTCCTCTAGTAACTCAAAACAGCGTGTGTATGTATGTGTTCCTCACAAGAACAATCTTGTAAAAGGTAATATTGAAAGGCAGTGATTAACTTGATGACTCCCAGTAGTAGTAGGATAATGTAAGATTGCAGCGTAAAATCCTTTGAAATGCATTGTGACAGTTTAACTAGCAATTGCCAAAACAGCCACTAGCTGCCAACAGCTGATTTTAATTTATACCGAAAGAGTAAATGCTCTAAAGCTATATATAGTTATTTCAAATTCACCAGGAGAAACAATATATCAAAAATAATTTCATCCTTAATGCTCTGGTGATTTTTTTTTTATAGTTCACAATCAAAAGTTCTAAGAGAAAAATAGTGCACTGCTTCAAATCTAATTTCTAAAAGTACATTTCTCCACAAATGAGTCTGAGAATGTGTAGGAGTACTCATATTTTCCTCATATCAATCTATGTGATGTATCAAAATAAACTTAAGAATAATTATTAGTGTTTGTCCAGAATAAAGACCATATAAATATGTTTTGAATAGCAACTTAATACTAATTTGTCAATTAGTATTTAAATCTCATTAAAATTGTCCTGGAGTATCATGAAAAGCTAACCAAGTAGATGAAGTGAGGAGCAGGATTTTCATATATCTATGATACTCCTGGGGTTGTCATTAAATTCTACAATCTTCTGTCTTAAAAGTTCCCATCTACTGTTCATTATTTGAAACATGATCTTTGAAATAACCTAAGTTATAGGCTACATGTAGTAGTTTGTTGTTTCCAAAATAAATAAAGATCTAGTTTCGTGCCCCAGTCTCTATTTCAGCCTGTCAAAGTGCATATATACTCAATCAGATTCCAAATCAGTTGTGCTAACTCAAATTCCTCAATTCAATTGGTGGGTCACGTTTCACTGTCTTAGGCCTTTACTACAAAGATCACACCATCTTCACTCATTAATCTTGGTCACAAGTCAATCTATCTCACATCCTTAGATTTCAATGGCCCTAACCCAAGTTTGCAAGATATCGTATAACATCATTTCATTGGGCTTCTTCTATTGTGACTTACAAAGAAATAATACAAAAAATTCCCTACTCTCAGTGTGTCTTTTTTGCAGGCCACTGCAAAGAAGTGAATAAGATGGAATATTTAGTCAGATTAAAATCCTGTCTAGGAAAGCATTCTAGGAGTCTTTAGGTTACATAGCTTTTAGCTTCAACTACACAAAGAATCTTAAATTATGACCCTAATAAAATAGCTTGAATATTCAAGTGAGGATTGACATGTTGTTCTCTCAGCCTGGATCTTCTGGCTGCAACACTCTGGTTCTTCTCAGTGGCTCCGACCTCACTTGATTTAACAGCAGGTGGCATCCAGAATTAGCACAGCTATTCATCCATTCTTCTGAGGGCTGATTGGACCTTCTCAATCCACTTTCACATTTTCCAAATCGAACTTTTATTATAGCTTTCACATCTTCCTGCATCTAACATGTACAAAAAGTGTAGCTGGAGATAGGGATGTACCATCCCTGGAAAGCAAATGGATATGCCGGTAGCCTAAAGAGAAAATTACAGGAAAATCTTCTCTGAGAATGGGTCTATGGTGCTCATTAATTAGCATATATTTCTTCTACATGACCTTTTCTGTTATATAAACTCATTATTTTATCATCATGTAGCTCATAGCTACTTCTGAGAATTTAAATCACAGAATAATCTATATAAATCTGCAGTCCGATATCTCTGGGAGTCACACCAAATGTAGCAATTTGCAAATTCTGCAGCCTCTGATCCTAAAATGTCTGAAACGTAATTGTTGGAATGGTTTAATACTGAAAATTCCTTTGAAACATCTGGCTTTGTGCCATTATTTAAATTCACCTAAGGAACTTATTCTACAGGCAAACTTCTATGTCAAGCCCATCAGGGCTGGTACTTTATCGAGGTAGATCAATTCAACAGATACAAAAGTCCACTAAATCAGACATAAAATCAGCTAATCTAAAATATAATTTCTGCTACTTCTAGGCAGATTACCATCAGGCTCTTCTAGAGAGTGCACAACACCTTGCTCAAGCTTTCTTGATTCTGGAAGAAAAACACTCACCTTCCCTAATGCTGGGCAATGGCAATGTAAACTGTCCCACAAAATCATTGGAGGAAGTTGTATCATAATCCTCTACTACAAAGCGCACCAGTGCCAGGTCTGGAACTTGTATCTGAAACATCAAAGTCTCATTCCAACATGGGTTGAATCCTGCAGAGAGAAAATCCAAGAAATAGAATTTCAAGAGAGAAATAGTGTGGAGATCCTTTGTTAAAGCCAGATTCCAGTATAACCTATCCTAAATATTGCTTGAAATCTACAAATTTTCAGAAAATTATTTTTTCAGACTTTTGAATTTGACCTTTTTTTTCCACTAGTCCTATTTATAGATTTTCAAGTTCAAATACAATTTGTTTTTGACAAAATGTTTGTATTCAACAGATGATGTGATTTTAATAAATGCAAATACTGCATTGGGTGGATATAAGAAGTTGCCTTATCCTGTACATAGCTAAACATTCACCTGCAATAACCTTCTCCCAATTCTCTTGAAAGGAAAAGGATGAACCAAGAATCTGAAAAACCCACACAATTTTGTTATCCCAGCACAAAGAAGCTTGCTCCACTTATTCCTTGCTGGGAGTATCTCCTCACAATACTATCATAATGTCAACTCACTGAAAATTTGGAGACAACTTTAGGTCTTCCTGTATAGAAGAAGTGCTTTGCATGTTAGGTCAGCACAAGACATTCCGTGAAGATAACCCTGGGTTTTCAGAGCAGGGAGAATAGGAAAGCATGGCAAAAGCATCTGTACGGATAAGCCAACTCAGAATAAACCAGGTTCTTATACCGACCCTGTGGTTATTAAGTTGATTCACTGATTAAGGTCGAAAGCAAAAAGCATGTCCAGAGGACTTCTTTAGACTTGCTACTCGTGTTTCCTTTTTATGTGGAAATATTAAGAACTAACCCTGGGATTTTCTTCAAACTCTGGCTTTGTTTCTCCTCTGGTCCAATAGGAGGGGGAAGGATATCGTGGTCCATCAAATGCTGATGAACTAACTGTACAATTCATGGCTATTCATCATGCTGGGTGGAGCCAGTACAACCAATAATTCTCTACCCTTGCTTCTCCTTATTGCTTTCATTCCTAGGCTTTGTCTCACCATTATTTAACCGGTATTCAGTTTGTTTCTTGCAGCAGTCTGCAGGAATTCCATGAATCTCAATCCGTACAAAAGGATCAACAATGGAAGAACTCTTCTCTTTATTTAATTTTGGAAGTTGTTGAGCCGTAATCACCTGAAAGGAGAAAAAAAAATCATAATCATTTCTGCACACTCTTGCAACTCTTAAAAACCAACAATGCACACAAAATTGGCTGAATGTATTAATTGGTACAATCCTAAAATCAGAATTAATTTCCATTGATTTAATTTGGCTAAAATGGCCAAATGCAAACAAACAGAAAAGGGAGAGGGCTCCTACATTTAAAATTGTTCAGTAGAAAAGAGAATTTTGGCAGAAGGGGCCCTTGCAAAACTACATATCTGCCACAATGCCCTCTTCAATTGAGCTAATGAAAGTACAGAAGCCTCATCCTCTTTTGAATCTATTTGCTCACTGCTTTCATCAAATTAAAATTCTATACCCGGGGATTAATGTCTTCCAAGAAAAATAGATGTCTACAAAGTCTGAAAATGATGCAAAGCTATTTTCCAGATATAATATATAAATCTGGACTGCATGATAATATATTCCATCAGAAACATTGAAGTCTGACACCAACCACAGTAAAACTTATTTAGTCCTTTTTCCAGCACTTGAGATTTCAGTGGATATTGGTCATACTAGTTTGAAATAACTTTTAAGCCTAAGAGTTAGAAACCCAGGATAGTTGCAGTTCTCGGGTATTTATTAAAAAACATTGTTTAGCTATTCGGTCTTTTCTCTTAGCAAAGTTCTTCTCTTTGGGAAAAAGAAAAAACTCAAAATTTTAAATATTTTTCAACCAAACTACCTTACAGAGTTATAAGATACAATGAGGGAAGTAAAGATACACGGATGCTGCTTTAGGCTCTTAAAGGCAGGTCTATGTACAAGTTCAAAACCATAATAAAGTAGAGAAAGATAGTTATAAGTAAAAGGTGGCATCATCTGGGTGCTCTCTTCCAAAATGTTATTAACATAATAAAGATCCTTTGGAAAGATCTTCTGGAAGCTCTTTTATGCTTGGCTCTTAAGCAAAAGTCTTTTATATTAAGGGTTTGTGTGTTTCAGTTTCTGTAGAATCTGGAAATAGTATATTTAATTATGGTTATGACATTAAAGCCATGCAATAGGATTTATGCAATAATGTTTCTTGTTAAGTCTACTCTTCCATCTACTTTCCATTTATATGCACCTAAATACATATAGCAAGCAATTCAAAGAACATATGGGCATCCTACATTCTACTATACCTTGATGGTGAGGGCAATAGGATGCTGGCCATTCCTATGAATGGGAACCTTGGGGTCAAAATGACTCTGGTTATTGCATAAGAAAGCAGGTTTCAGCACATAGCCACAGCGGCCATTCACCAAAAAGCGCCCATCATTTAAATCCATCTCAGCACCTGGTGTCTGGAAATTCAGTGCCACTGAAATATGACCATAGAAAGGAAAGTGATTAAACAGATCATAAGACTGGAATATTATCATGGTGCAGATTTATAAAACTTTGTATCTACTGGCACATCCAAAAAGAACTTAAGCAGCACAGACAGCTGGTGCAAAATGTGGCAGCGAGAGCAGTCTTTAGGGTCCCTAGGATGGCCCATATTACACCTCCACGAACTTCACTGGCTACTGGTCTGCTTCCAAGTGCAGTTTAAGGTATTGGTTATGACTTTTAGAGCCATTAATGGCATAGTTCCAGGCTAGCTGATGAACCACTAGGACAAGCCTATTCTCATGCCAACAGATAGGATCTACTTTGGATCCCATCACTCAAAAAACTCTCAGGATTCAGAAGATCCTGCAGCGCCCACTCTCTGGAACATCTTATCCTCTAAGGTAAAATCTGTGCCCACCCACCTATCCTTCTGCAAGTGCCTGAAGACGTGGATCTGCCGGTTGGTCTGGGGACCAAATGTGGGAGTTCCACAATGGAAGTGGCTGCTGGATTGATGGCAGATTCCACCTCCCACCCTTGCTCTCTGTTTCCCTCCAACCAAAATTTTTGTCATCATATTGGTGTATTTTTGTTGTGCTCCCTTTTCATTTGTTATTTTCTGAGTTTTATTGTTTTACTTCTCTTCACACTCCTTTCATTCACTTCTTTTTTATTACTGTAACCCTCCTACAATAGCCTCACGACGAGATAGATGGCAAATAAATTTTTCAAAATAAATAAATAAAAAGTAATGAGGAATAAAATAGCAGCAAATCTGGGAAGTATAAAGACAAAGATATCTGTGGTCAGTATACTCCCTCCTATTAATGCATTATTAATGAGCCATAGTGGTCAGTGGTTAGAAAGCAGTATTGCAAGCTACTTCTGCTGATCACTGGCTGCCAACAGTTTGGTAGTTCGAATCTCACCGGCTCAAGGTTGACTCAGCCTTCCATCCTTCCGAGGTCAGTAAAATGAGGACCCAGATTGTTAGGTGTCAATATGATGACTGTAAACCGCTTAGAGAGGGCTGTAAAGCACTGTGAAGCGGTATATAAATCTAAGTGCTATTGCTATTGCTATTATTAATCCTGGGACACATTCGTCTTCATTTGTGATCATTAATTTGCTATAAGAAATACATGTTACATTTAATTCAAAGTATATCTAAGCTGCTGAAGGAAAGTACTATAGAACAAAATATTTTAATGCTTTGGCTTTGCACATTATCTTAAAACTTCTAGGAAAGGTCTCAACAGCAGAGCATCTACTTAAAATCCAAATGGTCTCAGAGTCAGTTTCTTCAACTCTGCAACCTCAAGCCGACAACCGTCACCCATCCTATTTGGGTCAATGGACCATGTTCTTTCTTTGCATAAGATAACTTCCAGTGAATAAACAATAACATGAAAAGATCTACACAATGCCAGATGCCACCAAGTGATCCGTAATATTCTCATTGGTTACTAGATAATGTGGTTCCAGGCTTGGTCTCTGCTACTCTACAGTGCTGCTGCCGCAGAGCCAAAGGGATTAATTAACACAAGGAGAACAGTGTTCCACAAAAACAGAATTCTGGCCTGCCTTTGTAGTCTGAGTAAGCTGGCACTCTGTCATGGACTGAGCTCTCTCCAGACTGCTCATCCTCAACTTCCTGCTCCTCTCCAAAGCCACTTTAGTTTTTCAGGGTAAAACAAGGATGACTATTGGTAGGTTTGCAAATTCCAAGTTACTGGGAAGTACACATCTCTCCTGTTCAGATATTGGGGTTATGGGTAATACTCCTCCAATCTATGATTCACTTGTGAAATCAAAGCAAGTCCAACAGAGTGCAACCGTGGGAGAGAAAAGGTGACTAGGAATGAAGTGCACAACATGGATTACTCCTCCTCCTACTTCTTACCAATCTGGCAGCCAACATTCCACATCTCCTGAGGATTGTAGTTGGAGGAGTTCATCTTCAGACCCAGTGGGTAGATACGGCTGAGGTGCTGGGTGTTGTACCGGACAAAAAAGTTTCCTGCAGAAAGGAAAGAAGCTTCCAGCTTTAGATCAAAAAGAAGTGGTCCTGATTTCTGCTGATTTCTATGCACCTGACAGTGATGGAGTACTATAGATAGACTTCGCTTATCAATGAGAATTGGGACCAGGAATTCTGTTGCTAAGCAACACAGTCATAAGGTGAGCTGTCACATGACCATGACAATTTATGACCGAAGTTCCAGCATTCCCAGTTGTAGTTGTTAAGCAAATCCCACATGGTCACGGCATTCCATGGGCACGTGATCATCATTGGTTACCGACTGTTGGCTTCCCCAATGACTTTGCTTGTTGGAAGCCAGCAACAAAGATAGCAAATAACAATTTCATAACCATAGAACATTTTAACTGAGCGCTGGCTGCCAAATGCCCACATGTCCACAATTACAAAAACCCATTGCAAATACCCTTCCTTCGGAATCATCATATAGTTCTGTACACAAATTGATTTTATTGCAGATGACATTCTTTTTTTTTTAATTTGTAAACCTCATACTGCTATCCCCGTGCTGATGTAAAAAACTGATGCCTTTAGCAAAATAGTAAGTTACTCTACCAACTAGTCCAACTTAGAACTGATGCCTATAGGTCAAAATAGGTGAAAAATATCCATCCATTTAAGAAATATGAATACTTAACGACTATCTAAGGCAGGGGTGTCAAACTTGATTTCATTGAGGGCCGCATCAGGATTGTGTTTGACCTCGGGGAGGGGGGCAGGGCCAGAGTGGGCATGGCCCTCTGCCAGCAAAAAATAGAGCTGGGGGGGCATGAATGGCCCCCAGGACCCTGTTTTGGCCAGGACGGCCTCCTGCAGCCCTCTGCCAGCGAAAATAGGTAGGTCACTTGCAGGCCCCCCGAGCTCTGTTTTTGCTGGCAGAAGGCTACAAGAGGCCTTATAAATAGAGCTCCATTTTCATTGGCAGAGGTACTGCAGGCCGGCCCTTTGCTGTTTCCAGGGTAGTCCCATGGGCCAAATCTAAGTACCCCATGGGCCGGTCCCAGCCCCCTGGCCTTTAGTTTAACATCCCTGATTTAAGAAATATTACTGTATTTTTTTGGACTATAAGATGCATCGGAGTATAAGACGCACCAAGATTTTGAAGAGGAAAACAAGAAAAAAAATAGTTTTTGGCCTCCACATATCTGGTTTTTGCCCTCCCCAGCCCCAGGAGCATCCTCTGCAGGCTTCCCAAACCCTTCCCAAACAGTCCCATTTTTGTAAAAAAAACAGCCCCATTTTTGGCCTCCCAAACTCTCTGCACGCCCCGTTTTTGTGAAAAATAGGCCCATTTTTGCAAAAAACAGGCCCATTTTTGGCCTCCCAAAAATGCTGTGCGCAAAAATGCTCCCACGCGTGCTGTTTTTGCCCTCCCCGGTCCCCAGGAGCACTCTACAGGCCTCCCAAACCCTCTGCGCATGCCATTTTTGCCAAAAACGGGACACGCAGGGCAGGGTTTTGGGAAGCCAAAAATGGCCATATTCGGTGTATAAGATGCACCGGCATTTCCTTTTAGGGGGAATTTTAGAGGGACATTTTCTTTTAGAGGGGAAAAAGTGTTTTTTATACTCTGAAAAGTACGGTAATTCTGTATTTGTAGCCAATCCATTAAATATCTAGGTATGTGAACACCAAAAGATATAGCTCTCCTAACATCTACCATTCCAAGTCAGATAGATGTGCACAATACTAATCCCTTTCTCTGAATATCTTCCTCTAAATATGCCCTGAAAGTCTGATGGGAACTATGAAGCCTTCCTTTTCTGTGGCAGCCCCTGCCCTATGGAACACTCTTCCCTTTGAAGTTTGGCAGGCCTCCATGTTTTTAGCCTTCCATAAAGCTTTAAAGCTGGCTTTTATCCCAAGTGCTGGGATAAGATGAGGTGACTGCACATCAGAAGCTTGACCCAGTTCCAAGTTTTTGTTTTTAATGTGTTTAGTTTTTATAGTTTTAATGTTGCTTTTATGCTGTTTTAATTTTTGATTAAGAGCAACTTACAATTGCTTATAAGCAGCTGTATAAAAGTTTTAAATTAATAATATAAATTATAAATAAAATATATACTGAAGTTTCAGATATTGATACATAGTCACTAAATCTTAACTATTATTGTATATAATACAATTCCTTGTTAAGAAAACTCTATGGGAGTCTTTGATTCTATGAATATATTTATAGAAAATATAATTACCAATTAATGAGGGAGAATTTGGTCTTCCTAACCTGGAACCCATCATATTTACCTTTTCAAGTATTAAATATCAGAAGCCAACAATTGTTATTAATTTTCAGATGTGGGCAACTTTGGAATTTACATATAGGGTAGAATGGTTGGTTGGACAGAATATGCTAAAATTCTAGCATCTCTGGAAATAATTACGTCAATTAGAAAACGAATGGAATGTCTAATGAAAGTTCAACCCTTTTCCCCATGTTAAATTAACTTTATAGAGAAACCCAGTTTAGAAATTGGAACAAAGGGGATGATATGGAAAATTTGGATCAAAGTGAAGATATTGATCTTGGATCAACTGATAAATGATGTGGGTGGATTTTTTATCATATTGTGTGTTAAGAAACAAATATCATTTATCTGTTATAGCCCAATGGGAACATTTCCAGTTACAACATTTGCTAACAACTTTTAGATCACCAGTATTCTCATCTTCTGAAACACCCAAGATACTAGAGCAAATTGTTAAATCTTTTAAAACTAAAAAAAAAACCCCTCTACTATTAATTTCTATAGATATCTGTTATCAAGAAATCATTTTGATATTTATATGCTAAGAAATGACTGGAATAAAGAATTAGAGGTTTCTACATTGCTTAGGCATGGAGTTTTAACTTCTATACCACCAGTGTCAATGGAGCTTAAACTGCAATTTATACAACAACAACAAATAATACTTAGACTCCTTTACATCTGTATAGAAATGGACTGCCTAGGCCAGCATTTTATTGAAGACGTAGTAAGGATAATGCTTCTTTAAAACATATGTTTCTTAGTAAGTCCTTTACTTACTATGTTTTGCGAGCAAAGAAGTGAACTATTTAAATGTAACTGGGTGACAAAAGCTAACATTTTCAGGCAATAATATTCTTCCGAATTACATTACTTAGTACTTAGAATTTGACAACTGGACAACACAAATGGATTCTCCATACTGTTACTATGGACAAAATACCAATATTGAAGCATCAGAAAGTTAAATGTATAGTCCTTTTTACTCAATAGATTAAGGACCTGATTGCACTTGCCACCTATGAGCAGATTGTCTACAAGTACATACAAATATAATGAAATATGGGACTTGTTTGTACAAAACATAGCAGGTTATAAAAAGGATAGTTATATAAATGTATTAGAAATTTACATGTATTTCAATAATAACTGCATCTCTTTGTTATGTTTTACTTTGCTTTTTTTAACCTCACTTTTTGCTTTGTTTTTTGATAATGTATATATTTTTATGTTTTGTTCTTTTTTCATTTCTTTTGTCCCTATTTTAAAATCAATCAAAGAATAAATTTAAAAAAACAACTTTAAGTGGTTGCTAAATGAGTGGACGTTTAATGAGGACTACCCCAACTAGAACTGGCTAGAACACAAGGTCATGAATAAATCAGTCTTGCCCTGCTTGACTAGCATATCCATGTTCTCACTAGTTTTATCACAATCAATAGTATCCAGGGTTATACTCTAACCTTAAAAGACTCAATTGTACTTTAGGCAGCCAACAGAGCCAGACTGAGCCACAAAGCAAGCCAGCACATCATAATGTCCTTGGTATCCCAAAAAAATTAATCTCCCATACCTGAATCTTTGATCAGCTTCCTGGCTTTCCGCTCACTGAAGGATGACATCTCTGAAGGTTTCTGGTGGAGCAGGGCATCAGACAGGCTTTGGAATGGAATAGCCCGGCAATATACAACCACATCAGAGAGTTCTTGTGAAATCTGCACTACATCCTTTGCCTGGGGGGCAAGGAAGAAGTGCCATTTGCAAAAAATTAATTTAATTTTAATTTAATTAATTTAAAAATCCACTTCAAGTAACACATCCTACTTCGCAAACAAATTAATTCAGGCTTGCAATTAGCTACTACTTCGGTTCTGTTAAGTAGACTAGAATATCTTCTGGTTAACTAGAGAGGAAAGATTTGTTAGTTGAAAGTTCTCTCCCACCTTCATTAATGCCATTGATGGGTCATACCATGGATTCTGTTTGCTAGATGTCTTTCAGGGGTTAGGAGATCTAGCTAAATCATTTGTGGACTTACTTTCATAGGTTTGCTTCAGCAGGTGGCAGTATTTAGCCAACCTTTGACAGCTCTCAGAAACTAAGCAGAGTGGCCCCAAATATACTTGGACAGGAGACTGGGAATTTAATGCCTGGAAGTCCGAAAAATCTCAGAAAAATCTGAGAAATGAAAACTTCTGTAGAACCAGCAAGAAAACTAAATGGCTGAGGTACTAAAAGTAAGGTTCAACTTGAAACATGGCTGGTAAGTGTGGCAGCATTATTAAGTGATCATGTAAGGATGTATTTACCACAAATATCTTTTGAAGATACTACTTCTGGGTCCAATACCAAGCTATCTGTAGCGGTGACACTGTAGCACAGAGCAGTGGGCATGTCCCTTTTAGCACAAAGAATGAAATTCATGGGTCCTGAATTAGATGTTAAACTTCCCTTGCCAACAAATCCTCTTGCAGTGGCATGTGATGAAATCATCATGAAAAGCAATTAAAAGCAATTGTGGATATTAAGTTTGTGGGTGAGCGTAGCACCCTGTGAAAATAGCACCTCTCTTTTCCTGGGATATTTTCTTTCAACATGGTTATGTTATGATCTTTACAGAACACCTATCCCTCTACCCTTGGAACGGTCATCAACAAAAGGTTTCAAGGAAATGAAGAAGGCCATTTTCTTCCCTTGTTTTGTCACAATATTTTAATCATCAACCAAGATGAAGAGGATATCCTCAAATTTGGCAACATTTGAGTATGTAACATTTGAGTAGGTAAGAGACTACGTTGCTTGCTTGCTCATCACACTTACCAGCCATGTTGGGATCTCTTCCAAGAAGGAAAGAATACTCACCTGCAAAGGTCTGATTTCCTGGAGAGAAGATGTAAACTGAAGAAAGAGGCAGAAACAGAAATTAGAAGATCTCTGTGTGTACAAAATACATTTACTTCAACTTCTGATCTTGTTTCCATGCAGCGATCATAATTTAATAGTTTCTTATTATATTTATTCTCTATCTACTTGTCTAATAATCCTTTTTGCTCTTTATTCCATCACATCTTCAGCATTACATTTTTTTAAAAAAACTAGGCATTGTATGAAAGAAAGATTGATTTTTGCCAGTCAACAGTCAACTCATTATTGTAAATATACATTCTTTTTTAAAAGTTTACCCATCATAGGTACATATTATACTATACATACAAACACTCCTAAGAATCATAGGAACTGATGCACTTTGCCAGCAGTCCCCAATTTGAAGCATTTAATGTAGACTTTGCCCAAAAGGGAGTTGATTACTATTTTCTCTATTTTAAGAAAACAAGGACCTTTGAATTACAGCAAACTCCTAAGAATACTTTAAATGTCTAAAAGAAAATACACAGAGGCTGTTTAACTTTAGATGATGATGGTTGTCTTTTGGCTCACAGCTGACCACCCTATTTATATTCTGCTCTGACACTTTTAAAAGGAAGCTTCTGACAGCAGAAGACCCCAATTTTCTACCTCAGAAGAAATTATGCTCTCATTTGATGACATAAACTCTTCCAAAGCAACAAGAGTGAAATGTCTAAGTTGTTGCAATGCTCTGTTAAGAACTCTAACCTGATTTCTTCTGGGTATTCCTTCCTTTCTATCCCACCCATTTTTGAACTTTCCATTCCTCATCACTCTCTGGCCATAAATCATGCTTGATCTTTATTTGGGTTATTTGGGGGTGGGCAGGTGGAAGAAGATGTTTGTAAATTTCCACTAAAAATATTCAGTTTTTAGTGAAGTTTTATATTCATTTGTAGCCTCCCTCTTCTTTCTCAGTAGCATAAATATAGAAAATGCAAGAAGACAGTGATCTTAGATCTTAAGAGGCATGGATTTTTTTGAGGGGGGGGGTGCTGTTGAGTTTCCCTAAAATGATCACTCTTTACCTCATGCTCTTGACACATTTGGCTACACTACAATATCTGGGCTACTCAAATTCAGATAACTGTTGGATGTAAGCAAAGAAGTTGAGGTAAGTTTAAAGTTTGCTCCATCTGAGAAGTTTGTCTTAGAACCCAGAAAACTCTACTTGCACCCTTTTTTCAACCGCGCTACTTCAGCTGCAAATTCTTGACACTCAATTGTCTTGGTTTGCTGTTACAGAGTGTCTACCTTAGAGGTTTCCCTAATACTCTCTTAATCACCCCTTCAAAAACATGGATCTAAACCTCACCCTCTGGTCTTCTTCCTCCTGCATTTCTTCCTCACGATTGGAGATCAAGTAAACTCTTGGATCAGTCTTGTTCTCTGATAGCTTTTTCCCCTTCACTAATATCTTCCCCTTCAATTGCTGTAAGGTTTGGGAAAGAAAAATCAATAAACTTAGCTCTATAATAAATCCTTCCTAATAATCTTAATTAGCTGAGTCCGTGGGGTGGGGTGTTGTAATTTCCTACACCCCTAAATCAGCAAAAGTATAGCTCGCAATGCTCTTATTGTTCATTTAATTTGGCAAACTTCAAGATTTTTGTGAAGCACCAATATGGCATGAAAAATAAAATATTTATTTATTTATTTATATCCCACTTTTGTTATTTTTACAAATAACTCAAGGCAGCAAACATATTCAACACAACTTCCTCCTCCTATTTTCCCCACAACAAACCTTGTGAGCTGAGTTGGGCTTATTGGCTCAAAGTCATCCCATTGAATTCAAACTCTCGTATTTTCTAGGCTGGTGCCTTAACCACTAGACCAAACCATTGTTTATTTATTATATAATCCCACCATAAAACACTATTTCAAGTGTGATATTGTAAGACAGTCAAGAACATAAAAAATCATTTTGAATACAAAAAAAAGAACTAAAAAAAACATAAAATAATCATTTAAAACTGTGCAGTTACTGCAAATGGCAAAAGCTGATAAAGTACAATTTGTAATCCCTCAAATTTCTGGGATGGTGAAACTACAAATACAAATCGGACAATGGCAACAAAGCAAAGTTGATTTGTTGAATTCATGCTTCTTGCTGTGAAGCCTGGAAAGATTCTATTCATCAAATCAAATTCCCTTTATGATCCTCAGTGAGGTTTGCATAGCCTGTAGATTACTAAGAAAGACGTTGATCATCCACCTATGCAATGCTGGCCAATTATATAATGAAAAAATATATTTTCATTATAGAATTGGTTATATTACCTCTGGTGATGGTAGTTGTTTGGACAGGTCTCCATCCAGTGGCTGGATCAACAGCATGTCCCCTAGAATAGTTTTCAGGTGATGGGCCATTGTAGACTGCTGCTCCAGGCCACAATGGTTTTCCAGAGAAAGAATCACAGGATAGGAAGAGTGCTGGGGACATAAAGTAGGATTGTAAGGTATTGAAGGGAAACAATAATAAGGATATAATAAATAATGCTAGGATATGATATACTGGTATACTAGATTCTGTAACCATTAGGTTCCTGTAATACATATATGCCTTTATATTTGTATCTCCTGTAACAAACATATTCTGTTATTAGGCCTGTAATGTATCTGGTATTTGTCAGACATATGTCCCTGCCATTTGACCTTACTTTCTGGCGCCCGAACAGGGACTTGAAGGCAAAGTTTCTTCAAGGTGGCTGCATTCAGCTTCCCACAAACTGAGCCGCTTTGAGGCTTGGTGGCCTTCATTAAAGGCAGACGGAAGAAACCAGCTTGGACCAGTACCGAAGTCAAGAGCGCTCCTGGAAAAATTTATCCAGTGACTTTGATCTGGTCATTTGCTGGCAGGCTCCGATCCTGCCTGTCCTGAATGCCTAACAAAGAGGCTTGCACTGTGGGGGGTTATGGAACTGAGCTCTTCTGGGTGAGTATATTTTTTTTTCTCTTGGGAAGGGGAGTGTTGCTTTGTGAGTGTGTGAATGAGACGAGGGAAATTCCTCAGAGGTTTGCCCTCGAAGCGATGTGTGGAGATCCAATCTGCGTTTCTGATTATCTGAGAGGAGATCAGCCAGAGACGATAGCTTTGAAAGGAGTGTGACTGTTGGAATAAGAATCTGTAGTGCAGGAGAGGGCTCTGACCAAACTTCGGACCCGCAGGAGAGGTCTGGGAAATCTCTTAGGGAAAAAGAGAGGGTTTGGTTAGGCTTCGCACCGACGGAAAGTTGTGGGAAATCTCCTCAGGAAGAAAGAGAGTCTAGTCAGGCTTTGAGCTGACAGAAAGGAATCCCCTGGGAAAAATAGGCAACCATGCTGGTAGCCTGTTTGGAACAAATAACTAGTAACAAGAATTGGGCCGTGTTCTCCATTTGGCTATGTTAGCCTACTGGAACACGTTACAAACAAGTTGTGAAAAAACAAAACAAAAAAAAGAGTATAAAAAAATGAATGAAAAATGTTGTGGCAGTAAAAGTTGTCTGTAAAAAAGAAAAATGGAGTTCAAACTTGCTCATGAGAGCCCTGGCTAAATACAAACGATGTGTATACCTCTTATACATCTTGATCTTTAAAATGGGCCAGCGATTGCTGAGAGGTCCAAGTTAGAATGAGAACACACAGAACACCCCCAGGGCAGAGGCACGTAGTAACAATCTAAAGAGAGATCTATGGGTGGCAAAGAAATATTGCAATGTTATAAAGATCTTGATAATTTACCATTCTCAAAGAGCCAGAGAAGTCTGAAAGAACTAAGAATAAAGAAGAAATTGTTTATTGTTCTTCCCACCTGGGTTTTAGCAGGTAATAAAAATGTAAAACCTGCCTAAATGGGGAGACTCATATAATTTGACTTGATCAATCTGGTGTGATTTCTGTTACAAAATTCTTGGATATGCATCTATAATAATAGTATGTAGAATTGATTGTGATACGTCTGGCCAGCCTGCAAATTAAGTAAACATCTCGGCTTGGAGCTGTGGGAAACGGAAAGTAGTTAGGGCCCACAATCATATTTATGATTTAAACTGCTCTCTGAGTTTTCCCACTGCTTTAAGAATAAGCTATAGGTTGCCCAAGGAAATAAAATTAAAACAAAAAACAACCTCCACAGGTCTGGAAATGTTTGATGGTATGTGTGTGTATGTGTATGTATGTAATCATTTCCAAACCTGCAGGAGACCCTCTAACAACAGTACACAAAAAGCTATTTAGAAAACGGAGCGCATTGGCTTGTGAAAAGCTCCCTGAAATAATTTGGTTTGCATGGAGGAAGCATTAAATGAAATTTTTGTATGTGAAATTGATGTATACAAAAAGTCTGATTGCAGTACAAATGTGAATGTGTGTGTGTGAGATGTCCCGAAGCTCATAAAGTAAAGTGACCTGTGAATGCCTGTGTGTTGAGGTTACAGAGAAATGCAGAGGGTTGTTTTGTTGAAAGGATGCTGAGAGATGAAAGGAGGAGAGAAGCAGGAAAAAGGGGGGCTGCGGGCTGGTTCTCTGCTGAACCAGCCTGAAAAAGGCAGGATAAAGGGTGATATCTGATACCTGCCTTTGCAGTTTCACTGTTTTTGGCTCGGAATGCAATTTTGACAAGGTGCTCTATCCTATCCGTTTGTTTGTTTGTTTGTTTGCTTGCTTGCTTGTTTGTTAGCAGCACAAGTTGCTGCCTTTTTAGGAATTGTTACAGAGATGAGTTAGAAATTACAATATGTAGTAAGAGTCAGTGGCATTTTTGTCTAAAATGTTAGATCCTGCCTGTTAAGGATTTCCAGTTTGTGTTCAAGCAGTGGCAGCTATGGCAGTGTTAATGAAGGAAAGCAGAAAGTTGACTTTTGGAGGAGCCCTAGTGCCCCTCCTCAAGTGAGGATGATCTTGATTGAGAGTATGCTTGTTTTTGTTTGAATCCAGTTCAGTTTACAAGAGAGATTTAGAAGGACGATCAGATATTGGTGCTGAGAAGGGGTTAATTTGTTTATAGATGGGAAGAGAAAGTGGTAGCAGGTAAGAGAAGACATTTAGGTAAGTTGGTTTGCACAGGCTTGTGAAATCAAGCTTTGAATTTCTTTGAAGCTTGAGGTGCTACTTGGAAGCCAGGATGGCAGCGGCAGAAAGAACTGAATGTTTAAGTGTTAGGTGAGAAGTACTAGTTAAAGAAAATGTGAGCAGTAGAAAGAGAAGGTAGGGCTACTTTAGTGTGAGACCATTTCAATGCATTTGAGTTGATTTCATTAAACTAACTTAAGTGGGGAGACTTAGATATTTATTGGTGATAGTGGGTCACTTGACTGGATGGGTTGAGGCTTATCCAGCCATGAGAGCCACTCAGCAGTAGTCACCAAAATTAACAGATAACACCTATATTATACCTATACCTATATATACCTATATAGTAGAAGTAGAAGCTATAGACAGCAACCAAGAGACTCATTTTATTGCAAAAGTGCTTCAATTAATAATGGAGGCAGTGGGAATGTCATGTTCCATGGAATGCAAAATCATCTCTGCTGTGAACCAAATCTTTACCCTTGCCTTGCCTTGCGAAATGGTGTTTGGATTACCACGTTTGGACAGAATGGGGGAAATTCCACAATATGAAACTAAAGACATGTTTGTAAAGAACTGTATACTTGGCCTCTATTCTTCTTTATCTTACCTCAGAATCAAAGGACTCCTAGCTCAAACCCTACCTCTCGATTTTGCTGTTCATAAGTTCCAGCCTGGTGATTGGGTCCTGATAAAACCTGATGTGAGGACAAACTTAGCCAAGCCTGGGACAGGTCCTACGAAGTCCTGCTGACTACTGAAACAGCAGTCCAACCTAAAGACAAAGGGTGGACCTTGTAAAAGGACCAGTGGAAGAACTTAAAGAGTGGCAAGTGATTCCTGAAGAAGACCTGCTGAGAATAAACTTTTCCAAAAACTGGTCATTGTGGTATGAATGGGTTTTGTTTGTGATTTTTCTTGTTGCAGGAGTAGCAACTTTTTGGACTTTCCAGCCTGAGTGGTGGCCTCTCTTATTCCATCTGAAGATCCCAGCAGCAGCTGTGCAACTTCACACTCTCCAGATTGTGTTGGTCCCGTGATTGTAACTGTATCACTGAATGTTATTGTTACTCTTGTTATAATTGTGAACTTATACACACCTGTGGAGAATAATGGGACACTGTGTTTGTGTAAATGTGCAAGGGATTGCTCCCCATAGAAACTCTATTCCTATGTATATATCTATCCTACACTGGAGAATTGAGACATTGAATCAGGTCAATCTGACTTGAACACAGTAGTCCTAGGAGATAGTGATATCATGATCCCTGAAGATATAGATATCAATTCTATATTTGATTTAATGCAATGGTTCAATATTTGGGACTAATTTTCTTATGCATAGGACTAATATGAGGAGAATATAATGCAATGATCAGTGTGAAAAATCATTTTACACGTAAGGGTGTTTTTTTTGCTTATTGTTACTTTTCAGTCTGGAATTAACCTGACACAACCTAGTAACCCATTTGAAAATATACCTAGACTGAGTGGGTTATGGACGGATGTGGTAACTCTTAATTGGCATGCTCCAGATGGCTTATATTGGATAAATGGAAAATTTGCCTATGTGCAATTGCCTAGCCGATGGTATGAAGCATGTGTATTAGGAACTGTGAAATCTATTTTTCTTCCTTTTTCTACTGCCCATATAAGGTGAAAAACTGGGTATACCTATTTATGTGGATGTAGGCCACAGAAAGATGACTGGCCTCCAGAAATAATAGTTCAGGCATACGGACCAGCCACCTGGGCAGAAGATGGTACAGAACTCCCTTTATATGCTGAATAGAATTGTAAGGTTACAGCCAATGATTGCAATGATACCTAATGCAACTGCTAGTGCTCTAAATTTCTTAGTTAAACAGCACTCTCTGTTGAAAACAGCAATATCCCAGAATAGACTTTCTGTACACTATTTGTTAGCAAAAGTAGAATTAATCTCACAAATTTTGTTTGCAAAATTGATGATTGTTAACCCTTGGAGGTCTCCTTCTTCTCCCTTGTCTCATTCCTTTAATCCAAAGAATAGTCACATGATTCCCGCGATGGAAAGCATTCCATCATTTAAATAAAAGTGTGGAATGAAGGGAAACAATAATAAGGATATAATAAATAATGCTAGGATATGATATACTGGTATACTAGATTCTGTAACCATTAGGTTCCTGTAATACACATATGCCTTTATATTTGTATCTCCTGTAACAAACATATTCTGTTATTAGGCCTGTAATGTATCTGGTATTTGTCAGACATATGTCCCTGCCATTTGACCTGAACCCATATCAATCTTCTCCCTGTTTTTTTTCTTGTGCCATCGAAGAGCATGGTACTATCTCAGTCTTAATTTATGTTGATCTGGATAGACTCCTACTTTCCAGGGCCAGAGGGCCAAAGTGGCCAATTGAGTAAACAAAGAAATGCTCAAGATGACTAATTGGGAAGTTTCTATTCCCCCTTGCAGGGCAACAAGGAATGCACGGGCCTGGATTAGGAGGCCAGAGTTGGGTACTAAGCTGACGTTTCTGAGGGTATAAAAGGACGCCATACCTTCCCTAAGGTGTGGCTATCTCCTCGCATGCATTGTATCTGTATGTTCTGGATATAGTTCCACCCAGTATTTTGTTTTTGGCCATAAATAAAATCTGTTTTTTTTGCAAGCCTCGTCTTGAGTCTCTCTCTTTGGCATTCTGGTGACTCAAGTGTATTTTGGGACCTTACAGTATCATTTCTCTATAGCAGCCTTTTCGACTATTGTTCATAGCAACTTTTTTTTCCTGCTAGTTCAGAGACAACTTTTGGATATAGTTTTGTATAGATCTGCCTTTCTTTCATGTGGGTTGCAGATCTATGGTTTTAAAAGCAATATAAAATACAAATAACAGTACATAAACATTTCTTCGTTATGTCTCAACAGTCGGAAAACAAAACTACAGAACTATTGAAACTGATATTATCTATGAAAATATATGATGACAACCAAGCGTATTTGTACATATAAATCTTGTTGCCAAGTTAATTCATATGATGTGCTGGACAATATAGGGGCTACTCCAGAAGACTAAATCTGTACATTTTCTAGAAGGCCCTAAATATTTTATTTGTATTAGGCTGTAATGGTGCAGTGGTTAGAATGCAGTATTGCAGGCTAATTCTGCTATTTGCCAAGAGAACGGTTGACTCAGCCACCCAACCTTCCAAATTCGGTAAAATGAGGACCCAGATTGTTGGGGGCAATATACTGACTCTTTAAACCACTTAGAAAGTGCTGTAAAGCACTGTGAAGTGATATATAAGTCTAAGTGCTATTGCTGTTATGAACCAAAGTAAATATGTTATGATATTTACATAATTAAGAATTGTTCCCCAGAAGCCTTTTTGACCCACATATTCAGAACATTCCACAACAATTCTGTTGTTGCATTGATTTTTAAGGCCCTAAAAATTTTGGGTGGAGGGTACATGAAAAACCCATCCTACCTTATGCAAATTTATCATTTATCAATCAATAGTTGTACAATTAGGCTAGAAGGAATATACAGTGTTAAATTATATAATTTACTAAAATAGCAAGTGACAAAGCACCATCTTAGAAGTACTGTTCCTATTCTGGATGGTTCTAAAGCAAAGTTTTATTCTGAAAACAAAATAAATTTATTAGGAAATGAGAATGAAAAGAAACTAGAGGCTATTTCTATTAGATACGTTAAAGTGCGTGCAAATTTTCAACATTTTTTAAATGCCTCAGATCTTTTAAGATTTTGGCATCCCAAAGATCTCATAAGCTTTCAACAAATCTTTAATATTTTTAAAATTTTAATTCTGGGGCATAAACAATACAGGGATTATTGTGAATGTTGCATTGCCAATATATGAACAATATAATGCTACTTGATAAGGAGTGCTGGGAAGCCTCTATTGAAAACTCTTCTTGTTTCACACAACAAATAATGCTTCTTCTAATAAAATATCTAGGCGATATCATATATAAATCATGAATGTTTTTTACTTCAACTTTGCTTTAATCAATAATGCTGCATATGAATGATATCATTAAATGTGGTGGGATCACTGGCTAAAAGAGAGTGGGCTCCTCTAGGGGTAATAAAGAGACATTCCAATTTAGGATTGGTTAGGAAAGGAAACTCCTGAGATCAAACTCTAGGTCTATATCTGCCACTTCCCAAGGAAAGTCAGACAGTCTGTTAAGATTCCTGTAATATAGGTGATCAACAATAAATTATCTACTTGGGCCTATTTATGAGTGGTTCTGGCTTTTTGCGCCTGACATTAAGATTGTAGTAAAAAAGAAGTTTTCAAGTATAAAACTTTTTGTGTATTGTAGTTTAGTCTACCTTGAAGGCATGGTCCCGGATGCTTTCAATTACATCCCGGAAGAGGATCTTGGAGGTAAGAGTATGGCCATGGTAGATAATAGGCTCTCCATTAGAACCTTCCCAGCAGTCCAGCTCCACGCAACGGCACCCCTTCATTAATGCCCTGCCAATGGGAGGGAAAAAAGGATAAAGAAATAGATTTTGCATTTCAGAAATGCAACTGGGAATGGATAGTGGTAAAATAATAATAATAATAATTTTATTTCTATACTGCCCTTCTCCTGAAGGACTCAGGGCGGTGTACAGCCTGATTAAAAGCACAAAGACAGACAAAATTTAAAAATAATTAAAATTATTAAATAATTGGCTCAATTATAAAACCCCCAAATTTAAAATCCCACATTTAAAACCAATTAATATCTTTACATTGATAGCCCGGCCTGGCGGAACAACAAGGTTTTGAGGGCACAGCGAAATACATGGAGGTCGGAGACCTTACGCATTTCTGGGGGCAGTTCATTCCAAAGGGCAGGGGCTCCCACAGAGAAGGCCCTCCCTCTGGGTGTTGCCAGCCGACATAATTTGGCCGATGGCACCCTGAGGAGACCCTCTCTGTGGTCATGGACTGGCCGGTAGGAGGCTACTGGTGGCAGAAGATGGTCTCGAAGATACCCAGGTCCAATGCCATGGAGCACTTTAAAGGTGGTAACCAACACCTTGAATCGCACCCAGAAGACCACTGGGAGCCAGTGCAGCTCGCGCAGAAGGGGTGTCACGTGGGCAGAACGAGTTGTGCCCATAACCACCTGCGCGGCTGCATTCTGGGCCAGTTGGAGCCTCCGGGTGCTTTTCAAGGGGAGCCCCATGTAGAGAGCATTGCAGTAGTCCAGTCGAGAGGTGACAAGGGCGTGAGTGACCGTGTGCAAGGCGTCGCAATCCAGAAAGGGCTGCAACTGGTGAATCAGGCGAACCTGATAGAAAGCCCCACTGGCCACGGCCATCATATGTTCTTCTAAAGACAGCGGTGTGACCAGGAGGACGCTCAGATAGCGAGCCCTCTCTGTGGGGGGCAAAGAGTCATCCCCAATAGTCAGCAATGGCACCAGCTGACTATATCGCGACGCCGGGAACCACAGCCACTCAGTCTTGGAGGGGTTGAGTCTGAGCCTATTTCTCCCCATCCAGACCCGCACGGCCTCCAGGCAGCGAGACATCGCATCAAGGGCATCGTTGGGGTGGTCTGGAGTGGAGATGTACAGCTGAGTATCATCAGCGTACAGGTGGACTCTCACCCCAAAACCACGGATGATCTCACCCAGCGGCTTCATATAAATGTTGAACAGAAGGGGCAAGAGGACCGACCCTTGCAGCACTCCCCATGCGAGGCGCCTCAAAGTCGACCTCTACCCCCCTGTCAACACGAACTGCGAGCGGTCGGAGAGGAAGGAGGAGAACCACCACAAAATGGTGCCCCCTATTCCTAACCCCCTCAACCGCTGCAGCATGATACCATGGTCGATGGTATCAAAAGCTGCTGAGAGATCTAACAGGACCAGGACAGAGGAACAACCCCTGTCCCGAGCCCTCCAGAGATCATCCACCAACGCGACCAATGCCATTTCTGTGCTGTACCCCTGCCTGAAGCCCGACTGGTACAGGTCCAGATAGATAGTAGAAAGATAGTAGAATTTATTGTTTTCATTCCGGCACTCAAGATGCTCAGGTTTTTATGTGATCAAGATGCTTCTCTAAAGCTTCAGAAGCAAATCTAGAATATGTGAAACTATATGCGCTATTGAAATTCAGGAAACACCCACATCTAAAATTATATAAATAGATATAAGACGGTCTAAGAAAAGCAACAGGCTATGCTGGGTAGCATAATCAAACCAATTAATATAGAAGTTGTATTGTAATCATTTTATGTAATATTCATAAAACAAAGATAATATTCCAGATCAGACAAATGAAGATCAAACTCAGGAAATGTAGTCAGACTGGACAGGTGATGTAAAAGAAATGGTTTAATTTTTGGACTTTATGTCCAATGGCTACTAATATGTAATCTGATTCTCCTGTTGAACTGGCCAAATTCGATATCTTCTCTGGCTTTTACAAGGAGTCAAATGCTTGGATCTAATACCAGAACTCCCAGAGAGTTCTTGTTTACTTTCTTCAATTCACAAGAACTGCAAATAATATCTGCTGACCATATCTGCTCTTCACTACCTCCTGTTCAAAATGGTCCTTAAACCATTCATTTAAGGACAGTTGAGGATAATTTTTATCATATGAATGTGAATAATAAGTTTACATGCTACCTAATTAATGGAACCACCTGATGCTAAAAAAGTGAATAAACAGATGGAAAGGGCAATCCCTCCCCAGGTACCAGTCTAATTGTTCCTTTCTGTCATCTTGCCTTGGCCTTGTTCATCTTGTTCTGTTCAAACTAAACCTATTCCCATTAACCAGTTATCCTCTCCTAATCCGTTGCTCACCCAGTTCCCTTTCAGTTTCCATGAATCATAGATATAAACTCACACCAGGTGGTTACCAATTCTCAGGATATGATAGGATCTTCATCCCTAGCTCTGCCCCCAAATATCTGACATTCTGACTTGTTTTCAATTAGAACTTTGTGGATTTCTGAGAACAATACCTACTCTGCTACCTCCCTTTCTATCAGGTTCTTCAATTTGACCCATACTGGCTATAGCTGTTCACAGCCGGGTCATGAAAACTTCTTACCGAACATATGCCTCAGTGCTACTGGCCCCTCCAATCTGATTGTCTGTTAGGTAGGTATTATGGGAGGAAGAGATGAAGTAATGGCATAAAGGCTGGTTCATATCCTGATAGATCCCAGCATGGGCCTGGTTGAGGATGTTTCCCGCTGAAGATAGTAAGTACATTGTGAAACCATCCAGCATCATGAGATTGTGTTGCCTGGCTGTGGAATAGAGACAGTTGGTGAAGCAGGTTTGACTACAATCCATGAAACAGGTTGACCAGATACATTTCATAAGGTACTGTTGTATGAATTCCAAATACCTGCATCTCATTCTTTCCCTCTTCCTGCAACGAACAAAATACATAATGTGGTGTCACCTCATTTTTTTTCTTCCTCAGTCTACTTTTTGAAGGATAAGGAAAAATGAAGGACCAAAAAATCATGATAAATTCTTGTGAGTGAATGTGCGCTTCTAACTTTTTCCATTCTCAGTGACTCTTTTACTGTTATTGTTTTATTTTTAGTTTAATCTTTTATACAATTGGATTGGTTTTATGATAAGGTACTATGTTTTAATACTGTGATGAAACCATCAAAGAGTCCACTTTTAAAAAAAGTGGCAGCATCATCTCATGGATCTTGGAGATGAAGGAAGAAGATACCGTAATATCTACCATGTTTCCCTGAAAATAAGACCGGGTCTTATTATCTTTTAGCCTTGAAAATAAGAACTTGGGCCTCGGGGAGGTCTTTTTCTTTTCTTTTCTTTTCTTTTCTTTTTTCTTTTTTTCTTTTCTTTTCTTTTCTTTTTTGAGGTGCAGGAGGCAGCGAGCGCCCCTTAATCGCGGCCCATGGATCAGCTGAGCCAGCAAGGGCCAGAAGCTGCCTCTCGTTCTTTCTCTCAGGGTGCCTGGAGATGTTTCCAGCACACTTTTGCCAGCCCCAGCGCTCCCTGTGGCACCAGGCAACCTCACAGCAGAGGGCCCCTCTCTTCCGCAGCTAACCTTGTGGCTCTGGAGCAGGCGGCAACCATGGTTTGCGCTCCGCCAGACCTGGCATTTGAGTGTTGATCAGGCTGCTGCTACAATGAAACAGAAGGCCCTGCAGCACGTTGGAATTGGCTCTCCCCCACCTGCCTCTACTCGACTGCTGGGCCTACTGCACCTGTTACTGCTGGCCTTGTGGGGCCTCATCACTCTCCTGGCTGGGCTGCTTCTGCCTGGAATGGGGCAACTCAGCAAAGATCTCCGGAGCACTGCCCCTGTTGCCGGGCTGCCAGGGCCCCCTTCGCCAGTGGTCACGCTGCCCTGAGAGACCTCTGTGACAGCCCTGCAGTGGGACGGAGGAGGGAGGAGGACATCACCCCTTCCTCCTTTGCACCGCAAAACCTGCTACTGAGAGAGGCTGCACGCTGCTTCTGGGCAGGGGAGGCTCAGCCCCCTTACCCGGTTGCCCTCTGCCATTTCTCATCAAATGTCTGTGTGTGTGTGAAAGAGAAAGAGAAACGGCGGAGAGGAAACCCTTTCAAGTGCGGCTACAGTGCTGCAAGGTTTGACATACTGGCGCAGCTTTTTGGAACCGAACCCTGCAAGGCTTGTTGTGGCATTGCACGCATGAATGGCAAAGCCTCACAAAGACTCATTCTGGTGGAGTTTGGGAGAGAGAAACCAGAGTTTCTGCTGCTTCTACTTTCCTTGCTTGCAGCCAAAAGTTCGTAAAAGGCAGGTTGGATCGGATCTCTCTCTCCCTCCTTCTCTCCCTCCCTCTCTCTCTCTGTCACACACACACACACACACACACCATCCTTTCTTTGGGATTGCAACACAGACATACATCCCAGGATTGCAAGGCTGAAGCCTTCGGATGGAGCATTTTGGGGACATACATCTGTCCTGCAATCCCAAGTAAAGAACGATTGGTAGTAAAAGGGGAGGGAATTTTCCCACGTAGGGAAGGAGGTTTGCTCCAAAGCTATGGCAGAGTCTGGGAGGCCTCCATGGGTAATACCGGTATTGAATTACACATTTTGCTCCAGTGAGAGGGTGGCAGGAAGGGGGCTTGGCAGCCATGGAAGACAGGGTTTTGAGGTGCAAAGGAGGAAGGGGTGATCTCCCACTCCCTCCTCCATCCTGCTGCAGGGCCACCATGGAGCTCGTGCAGGGCAGCACAACTGCTGGCAAATGGGACCCTGGCAGGCCGGTGGCTGGGGAAGTGCCCCAGAGATCTGAGCTGAGTTGCCTGGCCCTCGCTGGCTCAGCTGATCCGCGGGCTGCAATTAAGGTGCTAAGCTTCCATGAGGTTACCAAGGAAGGGAAGGACTGCCTCCTGTGCTGGCCATGCCCACCCCTTCACTAGGGCTTATATTTGGGGTAGGGTTTATATTAGACCCACCCCAAAAAATCAGGCTAGGACTTATTTTTGGGGTGGATCATATTTTCGGGGAAACACAGTATATTCAGCAGCCACCATCCATAATAGAGCATCTTTTGCAGAATAAACATCTATTTTTGTGGCTACACAGAGATGATAACTTTCCAAAGACTCAAGGGCAATATTATATTGTTATTTATATGATACCATCTACATACAGTAAATGGAGCTCTACAAAGAATAGGTTTAAAGATTCCCTCCCTGAAGAAGTTCACGGTCTAATAACTGGTATACACAGATGAGATGAAAAAGAATGAGGAATGAGTGGAACAGCAGTAAACAGGAAAATAATCTGCAATTATTTTAGTTATGTGCACTTAGAGGTAGTCATAACAGTGTCTTAGGAGTCATGGAAAAAGTGGATTAGAAGATAGAACAATATAAAAAGTGTTAATATTGAGACAATTTGAGAGACAGAAATTAGGAGCAGGAAAGAAGTAGAATTTCAGAGGCTGAGACAGGTCCTCCAGTAGCTAAGAAAGGTACAGGCTGACAACAATGGGTTAAAAATAGAAAGGATGTGGAAGCCCTGAAGATAAGATTGAGAAACTTGTGGAGAGAGAAAAATCAGAGATGAGTGTTGAGACTGAAGATTTCCAGTGTAGTTTAAAGGGTCAAAATACTGGCAAATAAACAATTTTTTCAACAGAACATTAAGTTAATATCAACACATAGAGGTCAACACAAACAACCAGAAAAATATGTTGTATTATGGATTCCTCTGATTCTGAGGAGAGCCTACTGAATTCTTATCTTGAAAAGGAAGCATCCTGTGACCTGTGATTCAGATTCAGCACAAGTAGCTGCTCATTCAGCCTTGGAAGACTGCCAATTTCTAAATCATATCACCAGTTAAAGAGGACTGAGAGCAGATATCTGCATGATTCCTCAGGAGAAGGGAATATCTGATTAAGAAAATATTAGAATGTGCAGAAATGGACAGATTAACACTTGCAGTTAAAGAAAAGGAAGAATTTGACTACAATAATATATGGGATTTATTTTATCAATGATTAGAGAATAAATATGAAAGTAAGATATTATAAAGTTAAATAAGTTAAGACACAATAATCGATAAGTTAAGTATTATGTATTAGTATTAGTATTAAAATAAGAGTGTACCTACTACCATATATCCATATATGGTAGTAGTAAACTTAAACTGTTATGACACAAAAAAAATTGTACCCAGACGACACACTGTTTAATGAATGTTGAAATGTTTGCATTAAAAGAAAATAAAACTTTTTTAAAAAAAGGAGAAGGGAATATCAACTAGTACAATTAGGCAAAGCCCAAAACTCTGAGCATCTTCCAGACCACCTCCCCTTGTTGGGAACAACTCTCCTGCTTCCCACCCTGCCCCATGTTCGCCTTTGCCTGTTGGAGTGAGCTTTGAGGACTTCTTTGGCTCTTAACATGCAGACTGTTCTTGCATGACCTAAGTTTTCTATCTTCAGCCTCTTCGAAGCAGCCCTGCACCTCCAATATAGCTGAAACTCTGCATTATCTTTTCAACTCTTTCTTGTTCTCCAATAACTCACCTCTGTCTCTGCCCTGGCTTCTGCTGAAAGTGTTATGACAGATTAATAAAAGTTTATAAACTTGTAATTGTGACTTTATATTGGCTTGGGGTTTCAGGCTAGCACAGACATCGATAGAAAATAATATTTATTTAGTAATGAAACATCTGCAAGAAAACCACCAAGCTCAGAGATTACAGATTATTCTGTAATCAGAAAGGTTGGATATAAAAGGTGTATCTTTAAGTGATATAAGTTATTTTAGAATATAATTTCTGTCTCCCAAGCATTTGGTACTGGCATTATTAAAAGTACCCTATCCTGTGCTCTAAATTAAGCTGCTGTGATGGCAAATCATTCACAGACTTCTTTGTCTAACAAGATAAAGGACTATTTCTGAGCAGAAGAAATGCTTAGGTATCTTCATACACCTTGGACTGAGGTTCCTAGTGATATTCTTGTTACTGATATCAAAAACACCTTGGTTGAACATATTTGAAATACTCTTGTTCCCTAATTTTAAAATATACCCACAAGCCATTGGTGGCAGAGGTGAAGAACCAGTAGTGCAAATTTAGAGTAGTTCGGAGAACCGGTAGTAAAAATTCTGACTGGCCCTGCTCCCATCTATTCTCTGCCTCCCAAGTCCCAATGGAGATTTTACAGTATCCTTCCCCCGCCGCACCCACCAAGCCATGCCCACTAAGCCATGCCACGCCCACCAAGCCACACCCACAGAACCGGTAGTAAAAAATTTTGAAACCCACCACTGGTTGGTGGGCCTTTGTTCTAAAGGAAAACGAAGTAGATTTCGAAGCCCAGTGCCAGCCCACACATGGTCTAGACCAGGGTTGTCAAACTTAAGGCCCATGTGCCGGATTCTACCACAGGTGTCCCTGACACAAGTGACATCGAGCTGGCCACACCCACCCTGGCCATGCCCACTCTAGGCCAAACACAACCTTGATGTGGCCCTTAATTAAATTGAGTTTGACACCCCTGGTCAGGACCAATGTATCTCAACCTTAGTATTTTTAAGAATTTTGGGAGTTAAACTCCACACAGCTCAATGTTTCTGAGGTTGACAAATATTAGCTTAAGCAAAGATATTTATGGCTGCTGTAGAGACAGATGAAAACTATTTTTGTAATGTTTTGAAAGTTAAAGCATCATTCTCTGGTAGTAGACTGAAATGTTAAGTCAAAGGAAAGAGGGCAAAGCCCCAGAGAAAGATTCAGGCAGGGTCAAAAAACTGGGGCAGGAAGCGCCATTGTCAATATATGACAAAAAGAGGAGGGCTTAGAAGGATATTAAACATTTGTCCTCAAAGAACTTATATTTCCATAAATTATCCATTGGAAAAATCAGAGAGGCACCTGGGAATGCAAGACAGAATAGTAGGAAAAAATTCTAGGAGAGAGAAGTAGAAATAAGTATTTTTAACAAAATCATGATACAGAGAGTTCGAAGTAAAAAAGAGGAATTCCAAAACAAAATAGAAGAAGGAAACCAAGGAAACAATAGGAGCTTGTAATAATGTATTGTCCATAATACAAACATTCATTTTTGTGTATCCTACCGTAATTGCAACCCTGAACATTGAATCACAATTAAAATTAGACATGGAAAAGATAAAATAAGTTCCAAAAATGCATCTCCCATGGCCGCAGTTACATATGTATTTTTGGCATGGCTGCAAATGGACCAAAAGTTAAAAGTTAATTAAAATGTCATAAAAATTGTTGTTCTGATTGTAAAAGATCTGGACACAAGATATTTTGGCCACAACAGTAGCCATAGAATGGCTTTGAATATATATACTCACTCACTCTCTCTCTCTCTCCCCCTCTCCCTCTCTCTCTCTCTCTCTCTCTCTCTCTCTCTCTCTCTCTCTCTCTCTGTGTGTGTGTGTGTGTGTGTGTGTATAAAAGGAGAGAGAGAGAGAGGATGAGCAAATGTAGGAAGAATGAATCAGGCTCCTGCACATTTCCTTGTATAGAAGATAGAATTTGGCTATGTACACAAATACCTGTTCAATACAGTGATTACACGTCTAATTGTCCAGTTTTAATATACTTTGGATCGACTTGAAGAATACAGAACAAAATACCAATAAGGAATAAAGTCACTTTCTCAAGAAAAGATGGGGGTTAAATATGAGATCTGAAAGATTGTTCGATATTTTTACAAGAAGACACTCCTTATCTTTTACATTTCCTACTAAGGATTGCAATCTCTTCTGTATGTTCACATGGGCACTGATTGTATACTGCTAGCCTAAATGAACTTGCTTGATTTATTGTTGTACCAAACAAAGTTCCAGAGAAAAGCAATTACACAAGTAAATCATCCAATAAACCATACATGTTATACAAACTGACCTTGAAGCTTTAGGACTGAGTTAAAGAGCTGGGCAAAGGTGACTTCTTTGCTTCTCTATTCCAAAGGTGTCTAGAATTTTCTAAGAGTAAAGAGGAAGTACTAGAGCTAACAGCTGCATTTTATATGTGAGCTTATATCAAGCTCATCTTCCCCTCATTTGTTTTCTCACCTAGGGTAGCAGCATCTACGTGACTCTAGTTGGACTAAAATGAAGAAATAAACAGGTTCAGTGCTGATAAGTATTTCTGATACTTAATACTGAAACGTATTTCTGATAAGACAACCAGAAAATTCCAGGGCTACAAACTACACTGGGATACATTTAAAAAAAACAAAAATCTCAGAAGGTGACAGTGGCAGCAACTCAAAGGAAAATACATGTAGCTACAAGTAGACAAGCTCAGCCATAGAAGACTCTACTATTATATTGCTGAGAGTAACTTCACTTTATTGTTAATTTTATTATCTAATAAAATGAATTTAACTTATAAACAAAATATTAAAGATTGGTTGAATCTTTAATAGTTGAAGGTGCTACGGGCTGAATTTATCTAAGAGTGTTTGCATAAATGGCAGCAAGAATGCCGTTTAGGCCAGACTGCTACACCAGCACCAATATTGTCTCTGCAATACAGAAAGCGCAAGGTAGTCTTGCCGTAACTTATTTTGGTTTGCCAGTATGATAAAATATATTAAATACCATATCAAGTTTCTTTTTAAAAAATCTAGGTTGCTAATAAAATCTGGAATATTTTACATTTTAAAAAAATTAATTATAACATTTTATTAAATTGTAGAATAAAATACAAAAATACAAAAGCAAATATTAGAACAAGGTGGGGAGGGAAAGGGGAAAGAAAAGTGAGGAAGAGAGGGGGGGAAGGAAAAAAAGGCATTGACTCTTGACTCCCTCTGTTGCAGTAAAATAATGCATTAACATCGAACCTCAACTTTTTACTTTTCCATAATAGTATAACTAGCCATTTCTATAACAACAAATCAGTCTAAATCAATAAAGCCCAAAATCAAAGTTTAATTTTTTTCCACCTCAAGCACAAAATCCAGAAGCAGTTTCCATGTAGAAACAAAAGTACTTATATTCTTTTCTTTGGTCAAAACAGTCAATTTAGCCATCTCTGCCAGAAGTATTTTACTAGATCATTTCCTGTTTTTGGCCTGCACTATTTCCTCTCTTTGTTACTTTATACAGTACAATATTTAAAAAAATCAAAGGAATTCAGTTACTAAAACCAAACAAATCATTTTTTTCTGCAGTACTCCCAATCCTAGTAGTCCCTATACTGTATTTGTTACAAGCCTGTCAGTATTGGATACCTAAGTAGCCCACTCTTTCTGGATGTTCTTGCAATATAGCACCATAACAAACTATAGTGCCTGGAAGACAAAACATTGTAACTGGCTTGCAGGAAAATTTACTATCATATTGTTGAGATACACGTAATACATTCATACCTTTCTCATTGAGCTCATACGTCTGAATGATATGCTTAGCTTGTTGCAAGCTTGTTTCTTCACCCTGGTCATGCAAAAATTCCTGCAGTTCCTCAGCAGACAGCACACAGTCCTTGCCTGAATATTGGTGGAAGATGTCCTCCAGCTCAGGCCGTTTCATTAATCGTGTACAGAACTCTTCAATCTCATATTCTTCCAAGCGGTCATTGTTTGATTTGTCACACTCCTGGTAAAAGAAAGACAGAGGAATAAATGAACTGCAATGAAAACTGTATCAGAGGCATCTGATTAGCAACTGAATGTCTAACATGAGAAAGGACAACTTTCAGACTTTCCCAGCCTGGCAACTTTCAGGTGTACTGATAACATAATTCCCCAATTTCTGAGGTAAAACAGCTGCCAGGAATTCCCAGGATTTCCCAAACTGATGTGCTTTAGATATGCTTTCGATACAATATGTCTAAAGCATAACAGTTTGGAAAAGACTGCGCTACACTAAGAGCTACCTGCTTTTCCCCCCTTTACACTGCAATTAAAACAGGAAATGAAAAGCAAAGCATATCTGCACAACATACATTGTTTAGACTGCAGCAACAGAAAAATACATGAAATTACGAAGAACATTAAAAACTACTTGGTTCAGAATGACATATAGTAAGTATTATGGCCTGCGACCCATGATCTGTATTATTTATTATCAAAAGTTGCATTAAAGAAGAACATAAAATAATCAAATCGAGACACAACACTTCTCTCTCTCGTCTACATGAGTTGTCATGAGACTTTTGAACAGACACTTTTGTGAACCCCAAAGACAAGACAGAGAATAATACAAATACCTTAAAGAGCTGATAGGCATAGATGTCATTCATATCTATGTTTACTATTCGCAACATGTTTTTGATCTCTTTGAAACTCATCTTATTGTCTTTGTTCTTGTCGGCTTCATGTAAGATGCCATGGATCCAGGTAGGGCCTAATGTAAGGACAATGTAAAAAACTGGGAAGCATCTGTCTTAAAATTTAAATTCACTCTCTTTCTGTCTTACATAGTTAATTCAAGAAAATTGTGAAGATGAGCCTTAATACAAACTCTTGAAAAAGGGAAAGAGTGTTAGGGCATATTTTAAATGCAGAAGACAGGGTACAAAGATATCAGCTATCCACAAATATCTGAATGAGCAATTTTTATCTACGGTAATTTTTAGACATACGATTTACATGTCTTTATCAAATTCAAGTGGTAAGAAAAGAAAAATTTATATAACCTATAAACCTGGCTATATAACCTATTTCAGAAAAAATAAATTGCTGCTTCTAAAGCCAATAGATTCACTTTTGTTAGGTAAGGGTTTTCAAACAGAGACTGGTTACTCCAGCAACATCACTGCCATAGAATTCCTTTGCTGATGCCTTTTGGCCTTTGAGGCATAATTCAACTTTTTACTCTGTGGTCATTGCCCTACATACAGTATAATGGTATAACAGCATTCCCTTGCCATGGAAGATGCTACAAGATAATAGGAATAAGATGCTCCCTAATTCTATTTGCTTCTTTTGTGCATCACCCGTGCACAGCAACCCATGAAACCAAATGTGGCTCCAAATCCCATTTCAAATATGGTACCATATGTATTTTTAAAACTCAGATGTCTAGTACTTAACACAAGCGGAGGCATAGATTTTAAAAAGAGAAAGGAGGGTTTTGTATTGATTCAACAAAATTTTCCTTTCTCTATGCCACAGATTTAAGGGGGAATAATATCTACCACACTTCTAAGACTTTGCCGATATAGAAAGAAAGGATATTGCTCAAGCTTTTCTTGCTGGCTCATGGTTTCACATCTGTCCATCAGTTTTGTGAGTCCCCTCACCCACTGCTGGGCTTCAATCCCAGTCCGAGCAGCCAGATCCAGGTTTTTCCGTTTCCCCCTGAAGACTATAGTGAAGCACTGCTCTTCTGCAAAAGAACCACCAAATTTCCGAAGCCCCTCAGATTGGTAACCTTCACGTACACTTTCAACATGGAGGATGGAGACTGAAAGACAAGGCATCAAAAAGAGTCATTCATTGAGAGAGATAATAATTAAAAATACCTACCACTTTCAGTGAAAATGTTTTCATTGCCATAAGAAAACAGGGAAAGACTATAGTTGCCTCACACTATGGGATGAACTGTATATACATTTGATAAATAAGCAAATAGTAGAGCATAGAATGAGCAGGCAAAAGACTCAAGATTCAACTCAATTATTTCACCATAGGGCTGGAGAAGCCAGTCTCTGAGACCCTGGAGAATGGGTGTCATTAATGCCAATTAACCCTTCCTGATCTGATGTCTCTCAACTGTACTGAATTCCAACTCCCATCATTCCAGAGCAGCAGATAGAAGGTGGAGCCAAAGTAGAGGGAGCAGTGTGATAAAAGGTAGTTTTCTTTATTTCCCACCCAAGAGTCTATCAAAAACTCATAAGAAAAAAATTGTCTGGAATAAAGGTTTTATGATGCTTTTTTCTTTAATTTGTCCAATTTTCCTAATTAGAATTAATAAATTGAAGAACCAACTCAAGATAAGTCTCTCTAGGCCAACTGAGTTGAAAAAACTGAGACTCAGCCAGGAGAAGAAGGTGTGGCCGAAGAATTTGCAACTCAGTCTCTGGCCAATCAGACAAATTGAACCCATATTTGGACTCTCCAAGCAGTGCACAAGAGAAAAAGGCTCCAATTTAGGAGAGAACTACTGACTTGATCAGCCAAGGAAACATACCACCTCTTCTCTGTTAGGCTATCTCAAACAATTTTCTTGAACTTCTTGCTCTCAGGACCCCTTTTCCACTTTTAAAAATTATAGCAGAGCTTTTGTTTATATGGTTTATTCAGGTACTCCTTGACTTATGACCACAATTGAGCTCAGAATTTCTGTTGCTAAGTGAGACATTTGTTAAGTGACTTTTTACTACCTTTTTTGTCACAGTTGTTAAGTGAATCACTGCAATTGTTAAATGAGTAACATTGTTTTTAAGTGAATCTGGCTTCCCCATGGACTTTGTCAGAAAGTCACAAAAGGTGATCACATGACCCTGGGACATTGCAACCATCGTAAATATGAATCAGTTGAATTTTGATCACATGACCATGGGGATGCTGCAATGATCGTGTGAGAAACAGTTATAAGTCACTTTTTTCAGTGCCACTCTAATTTTGAACAGCCATTAAACAAACTATTGTAAGTTTGTTCTACCTGTATTGATCTATTTTTACCATATTTAAAATTGACACATTCATAGAATGTTTATTCATTCATATAAAAATAACAATATACATATATACAAGAGGCCCATTTACACTGGCTTCCTAATGTTAGTTTAGAAGTTCTTATAGTTTGGAAAGTAGACGGCAAGAAGTTTTGGGAAAAGATGAAACAAAAAATGAAATCTGAAATTCCAAATTTTTCAATCCTCTTTTCTCTTGAAGACAGTGATTAAAATTATTCCTTTTATGGGTTAAAAAATGCACACTACCTATGGAAGCAGGTACACCTACATTTAGTGCCTGCAGATCCTCCCTCCCTCCCCTCCAAGCCAAGTGAATCTGTCTTGTGACATAGTCTTATTCTGAGAGGAAAAATTAATAAGAACTCTTGAAAAATTAAGTAAAAATGTAATGATTTCTGCCACTAAAGTCACAGCCCAACATGAAAGGAAAAAAAAGTGAAAATAGTGGGAAACAATGGGAGAATAATTAATGTAAGGCAATCTCAACATTTTATGTAAAGGAAGGTAGGGAGGGTGGGTTTGCATAGCTGTGACTGGATGTCTAATAGATATTATGAACATGACAGAAAGAAGAAAATTGTTATTAGAGGAAGTTGCACTATTATAGAAAACATGGTTTAGTTCAGGAGAGGAAGAAACATTTGAAACTAATTCTACCTTAATTATATCAGAAATAAATTTATCTTGAAAATTGTTTTTATGACTTTTCAAGATTTTATTATGTTAGCCTACAAGCAATTAAAATCTTTTCAGAAATCCCAGTACTTTTGTTTCCAAGTGAGGATCTATGGCTGACATCTCTGAAAGATTGGGAATGGCATTGCAGCAGAGATTAGCAGCCAGATGGTAAATTCTGGCTGGCTGTCATCTTTCTGGACAAAGAAGAGATTATGAGACAATCTACTTGCGTCCTAGACAGTTGCTCCTCATGAGAAGACTACCCCCTGACAGAGATGGATAGCAAGAGCACCTGACTGACAGTTATCATAGGCAAGTTCAGTGTCACATGCCCAAACAAGTCTACACCCAAGCTCTTATATTTAGCAGTCAAGCCACAATTCAACATATTTAATCTTCTTGCAATTTTCCCTTGCCTCACCCTGTCCTAATAAAATAGTTACCTTTCAAAATGCATTCCGGCAAGGCAATGCTACCCCTATCAAGTTAAAAAAAATGTCCAAAGAAAACAAATAAACCCATGCCTTCCTACCTCACACCCTGTTCTCAGAGGAATCAACCGTGAGTAACTCATAAAGGAGTCAGGAGAGTACAAGTATTTCTTGTTTGTGAATGGGAAGACCTACTTTTACAAATTAACGAACTAAGCCATGAATCAGGAAGTCCTCAGTCACAATTCTTTTTTTATATAATTGACCACCTATTCCTGTCCTCCCTCTCCTCTTTTTTTCTTTTTTAGGAATATTTTAATTGTTTTCAGTATAGGTAAAAAGGTAAGTCAGAAACAAAGAACTAAAATAGAACACGAATGCAACAACATAAGTCATATCCATTATATAATAGACCCATTAATAAAATAACTCAGACCACATGGAAAAATAATGGTCCATTTCAGAGTTCATAGGTGGAATGTGAATACCTTAATCAAAGATTTAAAGTCTCGTATGGTAGAAACTTTGCACTCAAGTAAAACAAACATTTAACTCCTTATACACTATTACATAAATTCTGAATTTTTGATAAAGTTCAATATCACCTATAACCTTATTTAATTACTGCCCAATTAACAGTGTGGCAGTTAGAAATTAAATTGATGCAAATTTTGTCCATCGCTACAACTCTTCATTATTTAATGAATATTGATAGTTATAAGTATTAAGAAAAATAATAGACATATTATTTAACTGTGAACTGACAATCTGTCTTTAGAAAAAGAACAACAGTGACATATTCAAATGTAATGAGCACTATTTCTTACAGTTAAACCTTTTCTTTGAATCTGGTGTAATTGTTTGCTTGTTTTCATTTTCTTCATACAAAATGGATTACCAAACTCACAACTGTTGTATAAAACATCTAAAAACTACAACAATAAAAGGAGGAAATGATGAGAAATATAACCCATGTGAATTTAATTTAAAGTTGAGATGGTTGTTGTTATTGGTTTATGTGGGATCTGGTTAATTAAAATGTGATATGATTTTTGTAATGTTTTACTCTGTATAACAAAGTCTATGTGATATTCTATATTTACTGAAAATAATTAATCTTTTGCAAAAGGATATAAAAGTAATTTTGCTCTGCTTTCAAGCTCCATTTTTTCATATTTGAATAAACATTTCATATCTGACTTAAATGGGAAGCTGAAAATGACAACTGGTGCATACAAACAAGAAAAACTTGAATTACAACGATCTGATAATCTGATGACAGTTTTATATTGAATTACATTAATCCCAGGAAAATTTAGCTGTGATTACCTGTGAGGAAAGAATACTGTCAAAGACAAAGCCAGGATTTTTTTTTTTTTAAATGATTTTTTTTCTGTCTTGTCACAGACACTGTACTGATTGTAGCCTCCAATAAGTATCTAGAATAAACAATCACTAAGCACTATGCTAACATTTTATCCCACAATGGTGGAAACTCTGAAGCTGTAGATCAGAAGGAAACCTATAATACTTGATACATAATTAGATAGTGTGTGTGTGGGTGGGTGGGTAGGTGTGTTCCTTTCTCTCTATCACTATAGTCCTCTTCCATGCAAAATTTAATGAATCTCCATCTTTTCTCATCAACATCAATTTTGAGCTTATCAACATTGAGTGTCAAAGATGGGAAGATGTCTGAGTTCTTAATTCTGGAATAAACAACAGTATGATTTTTTAAGTGTTTAGCCCAGAAATATTGCAAATACTAGATCATAAGAATGTAAGTTAAACAGCTGGAATTAACATACTTAGTAAAATTCAGAATAAAATACTTGTAAATACTTTGAAACTTACAAATATGTTTGGAGCGAGCCTTTTTAAAACGAGTCTCAAACCAGATAGACATCCCATCTTCAAGAAGCTGAAACAGTCTTTGTTTCTGGGGCTGATAAGTCTTGACTTTCCAGAAAAAGGTTCCCTGCAGCATCACCTTAATATCTTCATCATCCGTCAAACCTAGAGAAAAAGCGGAAGGGGGCAAAGATGAAAATTTAGTATTTAATGTGCATCTTGAAATAAAAGAACAAGAGGCATTGCTTTTTACCATGATTTAGAACTCGACTGCAGGAACTTTGTTTTCTGGGCAAATCTTGGAATCTGTAAAATACTAGATCAAATTAACTTTTCACTTATCTATAATTAATCAACACCATCCAGAAGAATTCAAGAGGCAAGAAAACAATCACAATTTCCATTTTCCTTTCTCCCTATCTTTTGGTTTTAAAAAGCCTGTATTCTGACATTTTTGGGAAAAATCATTTTATGGTAAGGTTTGGAAACTCTTACGGTACTTCTTAAGATCCAATTATTAATGTCTAACCTGCACATTTCCTGATTCTTTGTCAACACCAATATGATTCAGAACAATGACACAATGAAAAATGAGCCAGTACTCAATTTCTAGAGAAGGCAAACCCAAAAGATCAGAAGAAGACAAAAACAAAAGTGGGGTGACGGTCAGGTTTCAGATCCAAAAGACAAAGCACAGGCAATTACTCAAATAGGCAAGATATTCGGTTTTATGAATCAAATCAAGATCAATGTCATACAGAGCAAGTCATGCCTTTACTGGGTCCTGACTCTATTGATCCAAATTGTTGTATTGTACCTCCAATGACAGCATCGATTTTAATAATAGCAAAGATTATCCAGAAACTGCCATTCTCAAGAGCTGAATCATATGCACAGAAAGAATTGCAAACTTTAAATCTGTAGTTGGCACCAAATGCAGCCACCTACTTTTTGACCTGGCCTACCCATTTCAACAGTATAATTACTACTGTGCAGGAGTTGCTCTAGCTGATAGTAGGCTTCCAAGCTTCCAAGGTACTGCACTGTTTCCTACAATGCTCTTAGAAGATCCTCTACCCTACATGTTAATATATTTTCTAGCCACAAGAGGATGTCCTAAATGCCTACTTGTGAAAATCTGTGGCTCAGGATACAGAAAGAGATATTTCCTCATTCAGCTGGCCTCCTAAAGTCACCTTCTTGACCTTTAACAAACAGATGGAAAAAGAAGTCCTTTCCCAAAGGCATTCAGAGAAGTTTAACTGAGGACAGTGACAAGTATTTTTTAAAAATATTCTGTTTGCACCTTATTGGGATTTTAAGTTTTACAATTAGGAGGCATACATTATCACAACTATAAACCTAAGACCATGGATCATGTTTTGTATCCCATCAGTAAGCGAGAAGCCTTCCACAGCAACAACAGTGTTATCAAACTCTAGTCAGGGGTGCCAAACTCAAGGCCCGCAGGCCAGATCCGGCCTACAGGTTCTTATATCTGACCCACAGGGCCACCCTGGAAACAATGAAGGACCAGCTCATGGTGCCTCTGCCAGTGAAAACAGAGCTCCATTTTTATTGACAGAGGGCTGCAGGAGGCTGTCATGGCCGAAAACAGAGCCTCAACGAGTGACGTAGAGCTGGCCATGCCCATCCCAGCCATACACACACACACACACACACACACACACACACACACACACACACACCCAAGGTCAAATACAACCCTAATGCAGCCTTCAATGAAATAAAGTTTGACACCCCTGCTTTAGATGACCAGTTCTACCAAACAGGGGAGCAAAGGAATATGAGTAAGCGGATGTGCAAGTCTGTTCAAACTGGCAAATGTAAGACATTTAAGGTTCGAACAGCTCCATGATGTGGATATGCTGGATCATAATTCCTGTCAACCTCAGTCTTTATGGCTCAGAAGATGATTGGAATATGGAAAACATTGAAGCACTGGCAAAATGCACAAAAGAGAAAAGTAGTTCAATATTACTTTTCATTGTGGTTTAAGCTTTCTAAAAATGAAAGCAAAAAAGAGCAGTATTATACTTGGAATGAGGAAAATAAAAATGGAAATACAAACAATGAATTTCCACACACAGTAAATGTATCCACTTACAGGATACATATGACTAAATATATTCAGATGGACACTTTGATAGGATGCAAAGTAACTGCACCTTTTATTCTGGAAAAATAGACAAAAACTATGGTTAATCCCTGTTACCAGTTTTTGATGCCCAAAGGGACAAATAGATGAGATTATATTCAATATTTAATCTCCAGGTAAAAGGCTTAATAGCCAAATTAAAGATTGCTTTTCCTGCCACATTCAGAGATTAACTGGGCAATTGTGTTGAAAAAGATTTATATTTCTTACTAAATTATTATCCTCCACTTTCTGTTGGGGCCTATATAATTTCAGTGTTTGAATAACAGAAAAAAAAATACAAAACAAAGAGACACACAGTATCATTATATATTAAGAAATTCCAAACGCAGGTGGGGCAGATATTTTTCTATGCCACGCCTGGCCTGCCACTTATCCAGCAGAATGCTTCATAGCGTTTCCTGAAAACTTATCAGCAGAAATTGTTCAGTTCCTCTAAATAGATGAGGAAAGTAATAGAAACAGGCACAGAGGTAAAATTCATTTGGATATCATTTAAAAAAACAGAAGAAAAGCAGTAAAATCAACGTACAAAAGGCACACATGACTGAAATCTGGATTATTTAAGTTAAATATGAAAATTTCTGAATGAATCTATTATAACTTGTTTAGAAAGGAAAACGCTTATGCATAAGGTATTACTATTATAATTTGGAAATCATTCCATAATAATCTATCTTGGCAAACAACCTAGCAAGTAATTTATTCGGGATTTTAAATGTTCCATGTATGTTTACATATACAAATAAACATGCAGTATATGTCCATATTAGGGGTGGGTTCTACTTACCTTTACTACTGGTTTGTAATGGGGCCGCACGTGCGTGCTTGCTTCGCTCGCGCACACAATCTTCTGTGCATGTGCAGAAGCTTTTGTGCATGCTCAGAAGCATTTTGATGACATCAGGGTCGGTGGGTGAAGCCTCCCGCTGGTTTTACTACCGGTTCTATAGAACCAGTGCAAATCGGGGGCAACCCACCACTGCTACATTTGGCTCAGGCAAGCAAGTGTAGCTATGAAATTTTTGGAAGCACAGGTAGGAATAGCACCAATATGATGCACTGGTGGGTGTGTGTGCGCGTGTGTGTGTGTGTGTGTGTGTGTGCTCCTGATGACTGCCTGGACTAGTCCCTACAGTTTTCTTGGCATCATTTTCAAAAGTGGCTTGCCATTGTCTGCTTCCTAGGGCAGAGTGAAAGTGGCAAGTCCAAAGTCATCCAGCTGGTTTTGTGTCTAAGGTGGGACTAGAAAGCACAATCTTCCTGTTTCTAGCTTGATGACTTAACCACTACACCACACTGGCTCTATGACACATTGTTGGAAGAACATTAATTATTCGAGAATCAATCATCCAGACCCTCTTCCAAAATATCCCCATGCATTCCCCTCCATTACTTTTACCCTACAGAAATTGAGACTATTCCTTGATGAAAACAACCTTCTTTACATTCTGGTTCTCCCCAAAATATGTTGTCCTTATTGTGCTCCCCTCTTGCTTCAGACTTCCCTGGAGGCACACTGCCACTTGAGTTTTGGGGATTGGTTAAATAACTCTGTTATATAGGTTTAAGAAAAGAAAGAGTTCCAAGCAAGTTCAATCTCTGGGTGATAAACTAGAATAGAACATAATTTGCTGCCTCAGTATGTTTTCATGTTCTATCCCTGCGAGCAACTCATCGTAAACAGACAACTTGTATTACAGGAAAATAAAATTACAATCTGATTAGATTAAAAATGTTTGCTAGATTAAAGAAGTTTACTGGGCTCAGGGTAGGAAAAGGTCAGCCTTTTCTTCTTGGATATTATTTTTATACTTAAAATGTAACTCCAAGTAGTATGCTTGGTTCAGAATGGGACAACTCACCACAGCCAACTCATGACAGCCAACTCGCCATGGAACAATTCGCTATGGCCAACTCACTGCGGGACAAGAATTACACTAATATCGAAGAAACAGTAGGAGTAGAATCATTCAAGAAAGGATGCTAAAGGAGGGACAAAATGAAATCTGAATGACAAAAATTAAAATAATTTTTTAACCGTTTTAAATAATTAAATTTAATTGTTGAACTGTCCTGCAGCAAGTTGGCCTGTGGCGAGTTGACCATGGTGAGTTGTTCTGCAGTGAGTTGGCTGCGGCGAGCTGACACAGATCCTGCTGGGTCTGCCTAATGGGGAGAGTAACAATGCCTAAACTGGACACTCCCCTGAAGAGGTACAGAAGACTGTCCCTCCAACTTTTCAAGCAAGCAAGATTCTTATGGCTATACTAAGCCAATCCATTGAAATTACCCCCCAACTAGAATACCAAGATGCAACTGAGACATTTTGCTTAAACACAAGGTGGTACCCACATGTCTTTATCCTGCTCCTACAATGAAGTAGGTATTTAACTGTAATGCCAACAAAGCTAACAGGAACAGCTTTCTCCACCAATTGAGTGGAATGTAGGTCAAGTTAAAGCATATAGACACTTTTTTTTTCTTTAAAACCTCAATGCTACTTCCTCCTGATACAAGAACTTCTCTAATGGAAAACCTGCACCACACAAACACACATAGAAACATTCAGCCAAAAATGATAACAGCAAGAGCAGCTGGGAAAGAAGTAATTGAAATCGGAAAATTTAGTAAATGGAATTTAGTAAATGAGAAAGATGTATATTCCAACGATGTCTTTACTACCTACTGTATTGTGATGATGAATGTTTTTCCAATAAAGAAGAAAATGGAGAATGCCTCTCAGCTCAGAGATAGAATAGCTAGGACATATTTTACAGAACAGAATAACGTGGAGAAATAAAAGGGACTGAAGAAGTGGAGGGTGGAGAAAATATCCGGTTTCTAAATCTCTCCCTGACCTCAGATCAGCAAAACAAAGCAAAAAAGAATCATAAATATGGAATGAAATAAGAGGACCATTTAGATCGCTGTTTCTCAACCTCTGAGGCTGAAAAGTATTGATCTCGCTTGTATTTCCTTCTGT